GCAATCGTAGCATCTCAACGGAGAAACTCTTCAAAGTTTTAGCAGATTAAATGGCTGCCCAACATCCCTAAACCCTAAACCCTAGACCCTAAACCCTAAGCCCTAAGCCCTTAACCCTAACATGACCATCTCAACAGATTTGTCTTCAAATCTTCTAGCATCTCTACTGAACACCCCGACGCCCCAAAATGTCCCAACTAAACCCAAAACCGTTTTCTCACCCGTAAACCCTAAACCCTAAACCCTAAACCCTATAAACCCCAAACACTGAGCAGGGCATCCATGAATTGCCAGGTGGATGCAGAAGCTGATTGCAGCCACCAAGAGGAATAAATTCGACTCAAACCCCGGCCTTCAAGGTCAAGCCCAGGCTGCTTGGGGTTTAGGGTTTTTTTTCATACTCTGATATTACTTATTCTCTCTTATGTGGTCTCTTGGTATGTGTTCATTACATTGTCAGATCGTTTTATTATGATGCATGAATATCTTTTCATACTACATGAGGGCGTGGAACCTTGTTTATGGATGTTTTCTTTCGCCGGGTTTGGATTCCTAAACCCTAAACCCTAAACCCTAAACCCTACACCCTAAACCCTAAACCCTAAACCATACTTCATCGTTGCCTGGCGGGTCTTGGAGGCGCGGAGCACGACAAATGCAGAGGATCAGCCCTCCAGGCTGCTACAGGACTTAGGGCCTTAGGGTTTGAGGAGTGGAAGGTGTAGAGAGGTTGAGGGTTTAGGGTTTAAGGTTTAGGGTTTAGGGTTTAGGGCCTGCAAGATATGCCCCAAAAAACCTATGGCAGGCAAGAAACCTGCTGAAAGATGGCATTGCCAAGAGCAATGCACAAGAGAGCACCAGCCATCGTTCACGACGGCGTTGAGGGCACGAAATAGATTTTTTTTTCAAAAAAGGTTACTTGTGACCCTAAACCCCAGGCCCTAGAAACCCTAAACCCTAAACCCTGAACCCTAAACTCTAATCCCTGAACTAGACTTCTCTCCAAACGGTTCTGCGTGTACTTGTCTAGCGATCCGTGGCGTGTGAACCTAAAACCCTAAACCCTAAACCCTAAACCCTAAACCCTAAACCCCTAAGCCCTAAGCCCTAAGCCCTAAACCCTAAACCCTAAACCCCAAACCCTAAACCCCAAACCCAGATTCAAGCACAAATTCGGACTGCGGCCTCCAGGGGTAGTGCCAGGGTCGCCGCTATCTTCTGAGGAGAAAAACGTACTTGATGAAGCTGTTGGGTACTTCTTCCGCTTCTTTGTATGGGTCTAGGGTTTAGGGTTTAGGGTTTAGGGTTTGGGGTTTAGGGTTTGGGGTTTGGGGTTTAGGGTTTAGTAGGTTGCGTTAGAAAGAGCCGAGTGATCGAAACACCACGCTTGTAAGTTAAGGCGGCGTTTCGTAGCGATTCCCCTTTGGCAAGGAGCCCAAACCCTGAACCCTAAATCCTATACCCTAAATACGCAAAGCCTAAAAAAACCCTAAACGCTAAACCCTAAACCCTAAACCCTAAACCCTAAACCCTGAACCCTAAACCCTAAACCCTAAACCCTAAACCCTAAACCCTAAACCCTAAACCCTGAACCCTACTTCTCTGCCCAAGCGATGGCTGGTACTAAAACTTGGCCATGCCTGAGTCGAGCAGCACAGGGAGTTGAAAGCGGGCCGCGTGTGGGCGTAGGACTGGTAGGGTTTAGGGTTTGGGGTTTGGGGTTTGGGGTTTGGGGTTTAGGGTTTGGGGTTTAGGATTTAGGGTTTAGGGTTTAGGGTTTAGGGGTACGCAGCTATTTCGCGAGTCACATGAAAGGGCTTCGCGGATGCTGGGGAAGATAGAGTAGGGGGTTCAAGGCGCGTTCAGACTCATCAGGCACAGCGCAAAATGGAAGATCACCTGAGCTGCCATCCGACATGTGGGGTTTTGGGGTTTAGGGTTTAGCGTTTAGGGTCACCAAGACTCCAAAACGCACTCACTCACTGGTTTTACTACTAGTTGCTTAAGAATCCCAAAGCATGAAAGATAACAATCCCTGTACTACTCTAAGAAGGAAGAATCTTATTATCATTATTATTACTAGTATTATTATTATATTCGTTTTTTTCCGTTTGGGGGGGGGGGGGAGGGGGCGGGGGGGTGTTCTAATTAAGGTTCCAGGCCTCCCTTTGCGTCTGTTCAGGGTACCACAATTGGGTCCACAACGACCAAACCGGTCCCCATTTTGGTGAACCCTAAACCCTAACGGCCCCTTCCCCCTACCACCCGTTCATTCTCCTTTGCTCTTCTGAGAAGCCCGAGCTTCATTTCGACACCCCAACGCGCGCACCCAAACAGGGGCTTAGGTGGTTTCGTGTTAAGGGCTTTGGGTTTAGGTGGCTTTAGGGTTTAGGCTTGGGGCTTGAGGTATGAAAGCCTTGGAGCTTCGGGCTCATGCGGTTTAGGGTTGAGGGTGCTAGCCCAAACCCTAGTCTTGCAGGATATCGAACTTCTCTGATGCCCGGACACAACTCACAGCGGCTTGGAGCGAGGGCTTACAGGGACAGAAAAAGGTTCAGAACACAGCTAAGGCTGCCAAAGGTTTAGGCAAATGGGTTTGGGATACGGCTCTCCTAACCCCTAAACTAAAAACCCCAAAAATCCGAGAAAAAAAAAACCCAAAAACCCTAAAAAACCCTGAAAACCCTAAAAAACCCTAAAAAACCCTAAAAAACCCTAAACCCTAAACCCTCTCTTGTCAACGCTTGAGTCGGGCGTCGGCTTGCCATTGGCAACCGCCAGGTATGCCTGCCTGGGGCGCCCAGCTTCGGAGGCTTAGGGTTCACTTCGCAGGTTTATGCTTAAAGGTTCCTCAACCCTAAACCCTAAACCCTAAACCCTAAACCCTAAACCCTAAATCCTAAACCCTAAACTACTTGCTTAAGAACCCTGAAACAATAAAAACACACACTCCTCCTTGAAGGGTCATCTAGAGAGAATTCAATTTTCTTTTCTGGGGTTCTTTATCAAATAGTGGGGCTAACACTCACTTTTGAGGCTGGGTTCGCTCTTCAATTCTAGGATGCAGGGAAGGAAAGCAACCCTCTTGGCAAAGCCACGCCCCCTGAGCCACATTTGAGGGGGGGGAAATGGTACAGCGGTCCGCCAGCAAGCCGAAGTAGGATTTAGGGCTTGGAGGTCCCGGAGATTAACCTGAGACCATAAACCCTAAACACTAAACCCTAAAACCGCTCTAGATCATGTCGACATGGGGTCCACGGTCTTAGTGTGGGGATGTGGACGGGGATGACGGGGCATGGCTTGACCTGAAAAAAACCTCTCCAAAGTCAAAAATCACTAGTAGGGTTGTTTCTTCTCTTTCAGAAGGGATCCTCCTATACCGACATGTTCAAGAACGGTCCGTAGACCCCCTAAACCCTAAACCTAAACCCCGAACCCTAAACCCTAAACCCTAAACCCTAAACCCCGACAGACAACCCCTCGTCAGGCAAGCCGCCAGCCATCTTGCTCGAGCCGCCGGCGCTTCTTCTCCACCGTGGCCGCCTCATTGGCCTGAAACGTTTCAACAGAACTCTCTCCCTCTCTCTATCTTTTTTTGTTTTGTTGTTTTGTTCTTCTCTCTCTCTCTCTCAAATATGTGTAAATAAATAAAGGAATATATATATATATATATATATGTATTTCCCTGAGGGTCTAAATACCTAAACAAATATACACATGGGCCCCAAAGTCCCTGTATAGCAGTACTTTTCAGGCCAAAGCATTCCTTATTTAGGTACATGGGCCCTTAGGGTATGTGTGTCTATATATGTATATGTATATGTATGTATGCACCATCTACTATATCAAGTAGAGGGTGGAGGGCTTTTGGTAGCGTTTAGGATTTGGGTTTAGGGGGTTGAGGGTTTTGGGTCCACAAACTCTGTGAATCTTAGGTCCTTGGGCCTGAAACCCTCATCCGCATTTGCCTTTCAAGGCCTCTGAGACAACAAATAAAATCCACTTTTGGGGGCATAGAGTTTAGGATCCAAAACGCCAAATAAGGGAACATATGACAAGCCGCCAGTATGGTCCGGGAATTTAGGTCAAGGGTGGGGGGCTTCAGGGTTTCAGTGTGTTGGCTGGAGTGTGAGGTTTGGAAACTTATTAGGGATACTGTTTGCTATGCCATGCGTTTGAAGCGTTAGTACTTATGGCTACAACAACCACCCCAAAAATGCCCCTGAACCCTAAACCCTACATTCCAACATATGCCGCGGGGCCATATAGCGTGCCATCTTCTGTCTCTGGCCTGGCAAGAAGTATAACAAAACGGAAGGTTTGGCTTGCTAGGAATTCCCAGAGAGCCCTTCATACCCCTGAATTAAGGAATATTCCTTAACTTATATAGGGATCCTTACTATGATTTAAGGGATATTCCTTAACTTTCCTCATAATTCTGAGATGTCGGGCTTTCGAGGAATTTCTGGGCTTCAAGGGAGTACTTCTGAGGACAAACATGGCTTGGTCAAAGGGTATCCCGGCAGCCGGGTCTTCCTTGTCCAGTAACCTACTGTAGGCGAACTAAAGGTCAACCCTTGGGAGTTTATAGGGATTCTACTACCCCAAAAAAAGGTTGAAGCTTGCCTACTCTACTACTATACAAGGATGATAGCAGACCCGGAAAAAGGTTGAAGGATACCTGCTCTAACTACGTAAGAGGTGAAATATGACTCGAGCTTGCGCCCAGACCCTAAACCCTGAACTCCACTTCAGCCCTAAGCCCCTGAACCCCCACACCCGAACTTCCTAAACCCCCTAAATCCTAGAGACCCTACACCCTCAAGCCCAAGCAATTCAAAAAACAACTCGACGTGCAAGAAGAAACTCTTCGAAACTTTCCCCCGGAAAACAGACCCTCAAAAACTTCAATAAGCCCTAAGCCCTCAACCTAAACCCTAAACCCTAAACCCTAAACCCTAAACCCTAAACCCTAAACCCTAAACCCTAAACCCTAAACCCTAAACCCTAAACCCTAAACCCAGGCCTGGGTTGGCGGCCCCTAGGATGCGAACGGCCAGCAGCCCCGCGTTGGCCGCATTGCCGATGGCGACGGTGGCCACAGGAATGCCTCGAAGAAGCGCCCAAGTTGGGGCTTAGGTTTAGGGTTTAGGGTTTAGGGTTTAGGGTTTAGGGTTTAGGGTTTAGGGTTTAGGGTTTAGGGTTTAGGGTTTAGGGTTTAGGGTTTAGGGTTTAGGGTTTCAGGCTTAGGGTTTAGGGTTTAGGGTTTGGTCCTATAGGGCTCAAGAGCTGAGGTTTAATCAGGCTCAGGGTGTTCTTGGGCCCCCAAAGTCAGTGAAACCTAACATCCTGGCGAGTTGCTTCTTCGAGCTTGCCCTACTTGGAGGTTCATGGGTAGGGTTACAGGTCCATGGTCAGACCTTACTTAGGGTACTTATAACCCTACATATACGAACTCATCTGAACCTCCAAGTATAAACCTAAACCCTAATCCCTAAATCCCTAAACCCCTAAATCCCTAAAACCCTAAACCCTAAATCCCTAAACCCTAAATCCCTAAATCCCTCAACCCTAAACCCTTCGAGCGGTGCCTTTCGGCATCTGGACGATGGACAGCAGCGAGTCGTTGCCACTCAAGGTGGAGGACTTGACTGGCACACCAATCCTCCACGGCGAGAATCTAGGGATTTGTACCTCGGGCCCTTAAGGTTGTAGCCTGGGGTTTTGGGGTTTTGGGTTTTTGGGGTTTGGGGTTTTGGGTTTAGGGTTTGGGGCCTAAACCCTAAACCCTAAACCCTAAACCCTAAACCCTAAACCCTTTTTAAAGATCCACAGGGCCCATACTTCGGATCCCTAAAAATACAAAGGGCCCCTGGTTTCAATCATGTGGAGCACGCTGGTTTAGGGTTTAGGATTTAGGGTTTAGGGAAAGACGGGGAGGTTGGTTTATACATGTATGGCAAAAATTGGGAGGCACGCCATGGCATCAACCCCGAAACTTTAACTCTGTACCCGGATCTTCTAAAACCCCCTATTATTAATAGGGGGTTTTAGAAGATCCGGGTAGAGAGTTAAAGTTTCGGCTTGATGCCATGGCCGTATTAAGGAACAGATCCTCATCTTTACTAAGGATCGTGATTCTGAATTAGCCGGCGGGCCCCTTTGATCAAGTAGAACGAGCAAGGGCAAGCAACTTACACTTGGGATGCTCCGCCTTATACTGACAGTCCCTAGTAGGGAGGCACTCTAATCGCTAGTAAGGACCGTTTTATTTTCTTATAAGGGGGAACATCCCAAGACCAAACCACGACTCGAAACAACGCTCAACTCGAAGCAACGCTCAAGCGGCTGTTTGTTGCGGCTTCATGTGCTCAACCCTAAACCCTAAACCCTAAACCCTAAACCCTAAACCCTAAACCCTAAACCCTAAACCCTAAGCCCTAAACCCTAAACCCTGTTTGCTATAGGGTTCTGAAGGGAGGGGGGTTCAAGGGGGGTAGGTACCTAGGGGCCTTAGGGAGTAGTGGGGAGTATTCGGGAACCTTAGGTTGCATACCCCCCTTGAACCCCCCCCCTTACCTTGAGAACCCCATCAGTTTAGGGTTGAGGGAGCCGTCTCGGGGCATTTCCTCTGGCTTTTGTTGCACCATGTCCTGACCTGAAGTCGCGCTGAGACAACTCGAGGACTTCTTGAGCCGTGCATGCGTACCCTCCCAACCCTAAACCCTAAACCCTAAAACCCTAAAACCCCTAAAACCCCTAAAACCCCTAAAACCCCTAAAACCCCTAAAACCCCTAAAACCCCTAAAACCCCTAAAACCCCTAAAACCCCTAAAACCCCTAAAGCCCGAAAACCCTAAAACCCTAAAACCCTAAAACCCTAAAACCCTAAAACCCTAAACCGCGTGCGGCCAAGGCTTCACTGGCAAGGGGGTCAAAGCTGCCACCATTCCCGGCAGGTGCCTCCAAAGAACCAGGGTTTAGGGTTTAGCTTTAGGGGTTGAGGGATTAGGGTTTAGGGTTGAGGGTTTAGGGTTTAGGATTTTGGGTTTAAGGGTGTAGGGTTTCCATGATAAGGGTTTAGGTTCCGGGGACGGCCACAATTTGTTGTACCTTCCGCACGAAACGAACCCGAAAATACTGGGATCATAGATCCTATGCGACTTTCTTCCTATTGAGGTAGATGGGCGCCAGAATGTCCAGAACCTTGTACAGCTTGGCCTAATCCTTAGACCCTAGACCACAGACCCTCAACCCCAGAACACCTAAACATTCTGAGCCCGAAACACATCCCTGCAAGCCTAAACCGTTGGGCTAAACCTTAAACCCTGAACCCTAAACTCCCTGCAAAGCTTGAGTTGCTTTCCCGCTGGTTTCGGGGGAAGGGTTCAGGGTTTATATCGAGACCCATTTCATTAGAATGGGGAGTTGGGGTGAGTTGCATAAGACTAGAAGAGGATACAGTTGGTACTCGAAAAACCTTCAACATTAAACCGCATTTGTTTCGTTCAGCGGTTTAAGGTTCAGGGTTCAGTATACTTTGCAGCATTTCTCCCTAAAACTACTGATAACCAAGGTCAACCTGCTCAGCAAATGGCAACTTCAGCAAAATTCCAACTTGGTACCCAATTTAGGATTCAGTGCATTGACCTGCAGTTGGGGAGCCCTGAACCCAAACCTATAACCTTACAACCCTTACAACCCCTGTAACCCTTGTAGCCCTTACTACCCTATAACCCCTATAGACCTTGTAACACCCTAGAACCCCAAAAACGGTATAACCCTATAACCTATAACCCTTATATCCCTATAACTCTATAACCCTTTGCCTATACCCCTATAACCCTATAACCCTATACACCCTAAACCCTATAACCATATAACCCTAAAACCCTAAAACCCTAAACCCCTAAACCCTAAACCCTAAACCCTGAACCCTAAACCCTAAACCCCTAAACCCTAAACCCTAAACCCTGAACCCCCTTCAAAAGGCCCACGGCCCGTTCCCCGTCCGAAGGGCGCAGCGCCGCCGGCCCCCGCGATGATCACGTTGATGCCCCGGGCCTCTGCAGTAGTCGCGTACTCGTACCTCAGGGCCGGGCGAAAGCTCAGGGTTTAGGGTTTAGGGTTTAGGGTTTAGGGTTTAGGGATTAGGGTGTAGGGTTTAGGGTTTAGGGTCTAGGGTTTCGGGTTTTAGGATTTAGGGTTTAGGGTTTAGGATTTGGGGTTGACCCGAACAACCGTTGAGGGCCTAGGGTGAATGATAGGGCTTAGACCCCAAGTATCCTTAACACCTTGAGTATCCCGAACTAAACTTCACGCACTACACACCTAAAGTGGTCTTAAACACAGCCTCAAAACACCCCACAAGACCGCAAAGAGCCCGAATGTCCCTAAACGCCCAAAACAAAAGACACAACAAATCAAAAACAAGACTCAACATACGCCTGAAAACCCCAAAACCTGAAATAAATTCCCAAAACATAGTTAGGCTCTGAGGGGTTCTAGGGATGTGGGATGGGATTTGGACTCTGGTGGGTGCCGGTCTGAGTGTGCTAAAGCTTCGGGCTTCGGGTTTAGCTTGGCGCATTCAGCATGGGGCTTGGTGTGTTCAGGCTTCTTTCCCGCCCCTAAACCCTAGACCCTCAACCCTGGGTACGAAGCTGATGACAAGAGGCATGTACTCTGGTGTGCGATGAGCAGAGACAATGCTAATCCTCCGCAACGTAGCGAGTTTAGTGTTTAGGGAGTGTGGGGATTTCGGGGTTTAGGGATTTCTGGTTTACGGGTGCTGCGAGGGAACAACTTCTAGATCAGGTTGAAGGAACTGAGGGTGTAGCCTGCTACGCACTCTGAAGGATCTTCCTCAGTTCCGATAAGCCCAAAGCGGGAGCGTAAAGAAAAAACTGCCACCGGCCTAACCAGAAAAAAGGCGTCGGGGTAAGGGTGGTGCCGCCACGACTTGCTCGTCTTGGGCTCAGGGTTGCGGGTTGAGAGCTAATAGGGGATAGGATTAGGGGGACCCTTGGGGATATAGACCCTCTGAATGGGGTCCCTGGTTAAGAGTGCCAGAAGAGGGTTAAGAAGGGGTTGCCTTTTGAGGGTCCCCCCTATCCTACCTAGGAGCTAAAGGGTTTAAGGCTCAGGGCTGAGGGCTCAGGACTCAGAGGGTTTTAGCGATGTTTAGGTCTCAGGGTTGAGGGTTGCCCAAGTTGGGGCTTAGGTTTTAGGGTTTAGGGTTTAGGGCTCAGGGTTGAGGGCTTATAGGATTAGCTTTCAAAGCCCAGCTGGGGGCGTGGATTCACCCATCCCGCGGCAGCAAGACGAACTCTTTGAGGTTTAAGGGGTTGAGGGTGTACGGTTTAGGGTTGGGGTTTAGGTTTTTTCTACCCTCTGAGCAATAAATCGTATACAGCATAAGTGCCCCCAAGAGACTCGTAAGGGATGCCAAAGTCATCAAGCACTTGAGCAGCGTCCTGGCGAGAACGGGGCCGTTGGGGCTTGGGCGAAAGAAACTGCTGCTCAGCCGTTTAGGGTTTAGGGTTTAGGGTAAAGCCCTTGGCCTTAATCGACGAAGTCACAAGACCGTCTCTTAGGGCAAGGCTTATGAAAGGCTTTGGGGACACGTAGATTTGCACTCGTTACCTCTGTGTTCTGATGCTCAGGGACAGAGGGGGCAGCATCTCATGCAGGTCTGCGAGCCTGCCCAACAAAGGTCCTTCGTTAACGCATTCAAGAAGGTAAGAATTCAAAAAAATAGTAGCCCATAAAACGTGATTCGTTAGAGGCACCAGATTCCAAAAAAAACCGCTGAACCCAAACCCCAAACCATACATCCCCCAAACGTAACACCCTAGACCCTAAACCCTAAACCCTAAACCCTAGATCCTAAACCCCACCCTCCAGTCCTTCATCGTGGGCAGATCGCTGTCGCTGCCCATGATGATCCCCACGCTCGGCGAGGGCTTGGTCGGAACCTCTTTCGCGGTTTAGGGTTTAGGGTTTAGGGCTTAGGGTTTAAATCGGGTTTAGGGTTTAGGGTTTAGGGCTTAGGGCTTAGGGCTTGATTCGCACACAGAAGCAGTGATTTGCCGAAAAATGACACTGGGCACCGTGATGCTGATAGCAGATACTATTGAAATTCAAACTCGCGACTGTGTGAAACCCCCACGCGCTGATACAATCTGATAGACTACTTAAGAACCCCCGAAAGATGAAAGAAGAATAACCCCTATTGCCCTTACAAGGAAGAAGAGGTTTCTTTTGGAGTGATTTGCAGCAAATAGGTATCAAATGGTTCTAACAGCGGCAAGAAACATCTAGCTTGTTGACCGCGTCGTCGCCGTCAACGGCCTTGGATGTGATCGAGCCTCACCAAAATCCTCGAATTTTTAACTAGGGCGCCTCCTGCCTAAGGGAGTGGGCCCAGATCTTCCAAAACCCCTTAATTAAGGAATATACCTTAATTCAGAATGATGATCCCCTAGTATGAACTAGGGCATATTCCGCAATTAAGATCTGGAGCGCGGCCTCGCCGAAATCCGCTTGTAACCACGATTGCACTCCTGCGGTCTGCTTTTTCTCAGTGCTCCTGTGCGATTGCTTCAAAACGCTATTTTTCTAGAGTTTCGCCACCCGCCTAGCCGACCTCTTTCGGACGCACTGCAGGTTCACGGGGACTGAGGAACACTTGTCACAACCATCTCTTGCCTGTAAGTTCGCAGAGAAGGTGTGAGGGCCACCCTCTACAGGCCCAAGAAAGTCTTTAACACAATACAGTTGCAAGTGACGTCGCAGATTGCCCCTGTGGGTTCAGGACTAAGACCTGGGCATTGGCCATCACAAGCACAACGAGTTCAGAAGTTGCATAGCAGTTGCATAGAATCCAGCTGAGGTGCCGCACAGCAATGCAAAGCTGGCAACTACTACAAAAGAACAAGACGTTCTACGTGAATCCGCGCGAATGAGCGAACCTCGATCTTCAGGCATGCAAAGCAACCGCTAGCATCATCATATGACCTGACCAATCGAGTAAGGGACAGAATTACAAAAAGTCGCGAAGCCGCTGTGGATTCAGAATGCAGACATCTCCTAGGTGGCGCGAATGCTCCGTGCGGAGTGCTGCTGAAAGTGAAGGAGGCACTTGTGCCTCATGTTGCGAAATCAAAGACACATGCCCAGCAGCAAGTCTCGCAGATCAGCGCAGGCAACTACTCAGGGCTCATGATATGGCTTATGATATGGGTTAACATCCGAGCATAAAACTTAAAACCAAATTGGGCCGTCATGCAATCCTTGCTTGGCGAGTGTGGTCGAAGTCCCAAGCCGCACACTCTCCAGGGCTTCCGTGATCCAGATGGTGGTCTTACTGGCCCAAAACCCAAGGAAATAAAGTTACCTTATGAGAAGCCCAAAAGTTGAAAATTGGGTTTTCAGCCAGTACGTGGTTCTAGATCTCTCAAAGCAGAGTAATTCTGGGATTTCCTGGGCCTGGTGGTCGGTTTCCACACGGTTCGGGGCCTCACCATCTGGTCTGTCTGAGCTACACACCAGGATCTGAAGCTTTCTGCTGAGCAATGTGTCTCTTGCTCTGCAACAGCTCAGATTCTGAAGCGATCCCACGCTCACAATACTCAAGAGTTCACCAAGACACTGCAAGGCTGGGGAGGGGCAAGCTACCCGATATTCCGCAAGATGCGACAAAATATCTGCTGCGCAAGACCCAAACATGCAATTGTTGCAGCCTTCCACCCCACTTTGAACATCGAGCGAGGAATCTAGCTATTGCCCCCCCCCCCTCACCTTGGATAGTGCTAAGTTGCCGAAAACTCTCGCCCAAGGCTTCTAGTGCCTGCCTTGACCAGGCGCGGATGTCATCCAGCTTTTCCTTGACGACCAAGCAGAGCACGTCCACAATCCTCATTGTCTCAGCCTGCAGACAATGGCGTGGAGGCTGCTGGCCTGGAGGAGTCGCCGCAAAAAGCGCGCCCCACTCTGCAGCACACATGGTCGACGGCTTGAGGCTGGCCATTGGCAGCAGGCCCACGTACACAAAGCTCAGGCTGAACAGTCCTGTGGCCAGCTTGCCAGGGCTAAGCATTGGAGACGCTGGGAAGCACAACACCACCGTGCGCGCGAACAGCATAAACGTGGCTCGCAACTGCAGGATAGGAGCTTGGAACTCCTGACCCACCATGCATTCAAAGCGAGTGAAGTAAGCCACGTACCACTGCTCAACACAGGCGGCTCCCACATGCCAATCGAGCGCCTCAAAAACCGTCCTCTCGTGCAGCGCGAGTGCCTCGCTGGACACTTCAGACGTCACGCAGTTTTGGGTGGACTCCAACCACTTGGCAAAGTCCTTGATCAAGATCATCCAACGGGAGCTCTGGTTTGCAAAGGGCCTCGCGGATGCGCACTTCAAGGCAAGGCTCGCTGAGCACACGCAAGTCAGCGGTAGCTGTTCCAAGCGAAAGCTGTTGCTTGCTGCAAAGCGATCAAGAAGCAGGACCGCGTGAAACCACATGCCTTGATCCGAAGTATACGCCCGAAGCAGGTGGGAAATGCAGCGCAAGGCATATGGACGAACTGATCCGTCGAGCGACATCGACTGTTTCGGCAGATGCATCATCTCGTCATCCTCTTTGAGTTTATCGATCGTGTCCGAGGAGGCGCCCCGGCGATGAAGCTCCTCCTCTATGTTCTCGGAGATGACCATCGGCATGTATTTGGTGTTTTGACCCTGGACTGGCTCAGAGAGCAAGTGGCCGTTCGCGGCCTCCATGATGAGCAAGTAAACGTGGCTGGGTACCCCGGCAAATGCTAAGTGGAGCTCCGAAGTGTCCTAGATGCACTCACCTTGAGCCTTGTAACATCTGGGTTCAGGGCTTAGCGTTTAGTGTTTATAGCATCTCAAGTCCAAGCATTCACTAGTCAAGAATTGCTCCAGAACATACCCACCCGCCCCAAGAATCCCACAACATTAAGAAAATATTTCACTTATGGAACGACCTTGCCCAGTAAAACATGACCTTGCCCAGTAAAAAGAATTACCTTGCCCAGTAAAAAGAATGACCTCGCCCAGTAAAAAAGTGAACTTGGCCAGTAAAAAAACAACCTTGCCAAGTAAAACAAATGACCTTGCCCAGTAAAAATCACACCATCGAAGACCCCAAACAGTCAAAGGCACGTCAAAGAAACAGTGGAGACAACGGGACACAAAGGGAGACAAAGCGAGATAAAGGGAGACAAAGGGACACAAAGGGAGATAAAGGGAGACAAAGGGAGACAAAAGGGAGACAAACGAGAACAAAGGCAAACAAAGGGAGACAACGAGCCCAGGAACCCGGCAACAGTCCTCAGAATGTCGGCAATCCTTAAACGAATTTACAACCCCCCCCCCCCCATCCGAAGTTCGCTTCGGCCTTTAAACAGGATACCGGGGGGGGGGGGTGCATCCGAAGTCCATCTGGGGAATCCTGGGCCGAAACGTTGGGGGCGCGGCCTTTAAACCGGATACCCCGCCCCCCCTATCCGAAGTCCCATTTCGGGAAGCCCAGTCCAAACGTTGCTGGGCGGAGGCGCGGCCTTCCCCCCCCTCATCTGAAGTCCATTTCGGGAAGCCCTGGGCAGAAAAGTTGCTGGGCGGAGGCGCGGCCTTTGAACAGGATTCCCCCTCAACGAGGCCCCGTGGAATCTGCACATGTTCAAGCATCACACTCCGGCGTAGAGCATGGAAACTATGAGAAGGCCTTCGGTGAAAGTGGTCCCCCTTCGCAAAGCCTGATTTTTCTCTCGGAAGCTTCTAGGCATGCCCTTCACAAGGTAAGGTATCTTTAGAGCAACAGGCCGTTCGCCATGCGGCCTTGACTCTCCGGCGAAGAGAATAGAAACAATGACAAGCCACCCCGGCCGAAGCCGTCCCCAAACGCGCAAAACTTGATTTTTCTCCCGACAGCTTCTAGACATGACTCTCACAAGGCTTATCTTTAGAGCACAGGTCTTTCACCATGCAACCTTGATACCCTGGTATAGAAAATAGAAACAATGAGAAGGCCCTCCGGCCGAAGACGTCCCCCAACGCAAAACCTAATTTCTCTCTCGGAAGTTTGCTGGCTCTGGTTTGTTTCGCTGCGAAAAGTGTTTGGGTGGCCTCGGGGTGGGCATGTCTTCATGCTATTGTGTTCAGCTGACCAGCGCTACACCCTAGATCCTAATCCCTAAACCCTAGACCCTAAACCCTAAACTAAACCCCGCCCGTACTCTCTGTCCAAGCACCACCAGGACGGGACGGATCTCCTCCAGTGCGCTGGCCGGGGTGAAGCCGGTCACCGTGATGTGACCTTCAGCAGAGCATTCCGGTTTAGGGTTTAGGGTTCAGGGTTCAGGGTTCAGGGTTTAGGGTTTAGGGTTTCCGGATATGGGGGTTTACGATATCGGGGGTACTTCATCTGGGGTCCTGATTATGGGGGAATCCTACTATTGGGGGGGCTTGTATTAGGGGTCCCGTTTTTTCGAAAACCCTCATATATGAGTGCCCCTTTTTGTGGGTTCCTAACCTAGAATACGGATTCGCGCATTTTTTTTTTTTTTTTGGGGGGGGGGGGGGGGGGGGGGGGTGTGGGGCATTTTCGGGGTATACGCTGTTTTGGAAACACCCCACTTCCTGCCTAAGCAAACGTCACCCGTCATCAGCTGCAAACCCCAAGCGCCCCAGAGTCCAACAAGACATTGCCTCAACGCGGGTACCTAAACCCTAAACCCTAAATATTAAGCCCCAAGCCCCAAGCCCCAAGCCCCAAATCCCAAGGCCCAAGCCCCAAGCCCCAAGCTACCTACTAAGTCAAAACGGTTTCCAGGTACCCATGCCCCGAACTAAACCCTAAACCCTAAACCCTAAACCCTAAACCCTAAACCCTAAACCCTAAACCCTAAACCCCGACTGCACCAGCCATGTCCAACCCAAGCAGCCCATCTTCCGGCCCTTGGCACAGCCGTCCTCTCGTTGCCAAGGATTCTACAGGCTTCCGTGGCTTGGGATTCAGGTATGTTGGGCTTAGGGTTTAGGGTTTAGGGTTAAGGTTAAAGCTTAGGGCTTAGGGCTCCAGGTTTAGGGTTCTGATGTACGAAGTTGCATAGGCTGGCTTGCATGGTGCTGTGCAGGTCTTCTTGCGCACTTCGTGCCAGTTTCCTGGTCGTCTCCAAAAAATATCAACCCTAAACCCTAAACCCTAAACCCTAAACCCTAAACCCTAAAAGCAAGTGTCGACCCATGCTGGCTCCTTAGGTCGACCCGCCCCCCCCCCCTCCCGAGTGAGCAAGTGAAGGCCTTTAGGGTTTAGGGTTTAGGGTTTAGGGTTTAGGGTTTAGGGTTTAGGGTTTAGGGTTTAGGGTTTAGGGGGTAGGGCTTGGAGGTTCATGGGAAATGTTAAGCAGGGCTAGAAGTATGGTAACGAAAATTATAACCCCATTTAGGGCACTTGTAACCCTTCTTATAAGTACCCACGAACCTACACGAAGTAAGCGTAGAACCGGTCCAGTCCCATGCTTCAATAACGAATGCATACAACCTGAACCTAGGGTATAATATATATATATATATATATATGTATTTTATTTATTTATTTGTTTATTTATTTACATGGTACGGCACCATTTTTCGAATGACCCCCAATAGGAACCCTATTTCGAGAACTACCCACATATTTTTCCCGCTCTACTTGGAGGTTCATGGGTACTTATAAGTAGGGTTGCAAGTACCCTAAACAAGGTGTATAAGTACAGTTACCCTACCAATAGCCCTACTTACAACTACCCATGAACCTCCACGCACATACCCCTTTGGTTCCTTCTGAACGCATCAACGCGCGCGCCTTGCCGTACCAGTGGATGCCGGCATCAGGGACGAGCAGCGCCCGTCGGAGGGGGGCCATGGTCTTTGTCACCTGGGCACTCTTGTAAGTTAGGGTTCAGGGTTCAAGGTTCAGGGTTTAGGGTTTGGGGTTTAGGGTTTGGGGTTTGGGGTTTCGGGTTTGGGGCTTCGGGTTTAGGGTTTGGGCTCAAGAACCTCTAAGCATGCATAGCGGGGCAAAGCTTGCTCTTTCAACGCCTGTTTCGGAGTGTCATGCAGCACGTTGCAGCTGTCCTGGATCTGGAAACAAAGTTTGGATATGGGAGATGGGGCCGTAAACCCTAAAGACCCTAAAGACCCTATAGACCCTAAAAACCCTAGCAAAAACCCTGTAAACCCTGTAAAACCTAAAAACCCTATAAACCCTAAACCTGAATGTTGTTCTGGGCAAAAGGTTCGGTTGGGTCCTGTCCACGGGTCAATATCAAATATGAGAACATGGCTGATTGGTCCTGATTCGGATGTGTTGCTCTTGGGCCCCCCTAAACCCTAAACCCTAAATCCTAAACCCTAAACCTTAAACTCTAAACCCTAAACCCAATGTGCAGCCAATGTTCGCTGTTAGCTTGCAGCTGCAGGCAGAGACTCTATTCTCATTTCGTTCGTGTGGAGGCTGAGAGAGGCTGTGTCTTCATACACAGCATGCATCAGTTAGCCCTCTCGCGCCGAAAAAACCCAGGCTCCGTCACACAAACAAGTGTAAGAGAGTGTGTGTGTGTGTGTGTGTGACGTCTGTGCAAACCGACGTATGTGCCACTATGGGAACGGCCAAGGAATGCTGCGGCTCGTCCTAAACCCTAAACCCTAAACCGTGACCCGTCTTGCAGCTCCAGGACCATTTCCGGCGTCTCGCCCTGCCCAAGGATGTTCCTCGACAAAAGGCCGCTGCACTGCTTTTTGTTTGGGGTTTAGGGTTTAGGGTTTAGGGTTTTAGGGTTTTAGGGTTTAGGGTTTAGGGTTTAGGGTTTTGAGGATGGAATCTTGAGGTTCCCTCGCATCTCCGTTGGATGGCGCCGACATGGCCAACGACGCTCTCCGACAGTGAAAGCGATGTTCTAGGAACCCAGGTACCCCTCAATCTTTGCAGCACATCCAGACTTTCCAAAGCCCCTTAAGTAAGGACTATACCCCAACTCAGAAGAATGCTCCTTAGTATGAATCAGGGTATGTTCCTTGATTAATAGGGGCTCTGGAAGATCCGGGCAAACACGCGAAACCATACATGCTGTGCCGGTTTAGGGTTTAGGGTTTAGGGTTTAGGGTTTAGGGTTTAGGGTTTAGGGTTTAGGGTTTAGGGTTTAGGGTTTAGGGTTTAGGGTTTAGGGTGCCATCCAGGTTGCACCATCATGGCACCGCCGACGCCTGGCAAAGGCACTGCGAGCAGCGTGAGCTCCAGTGGCATTCTTAGGGGCTGAAGACCCTGGCCCAAAACAGGTTAACCCTAAACCCCAAACCCCAAACCCTAAACCCTGAACCCTAAACCCTGAATCCTAAACCCTAATCCCTAAACCCTAAACCCTAAACTGTTTTTTGGTAATAGGGTTCTATATAAACCAAAAGGTTGAAGGTCAACTACCCAGCCCCTAAGCGTTGACTTTGACCCTAGGGGGAACGAGGTTGTCCACATCTGTCTCCGCCACTTGGCCGGGAAAGTAACACAAAATGAAAAGTAAATTTAGGGTTTTTAGGCTTCAGGGTTTTTAGGGTTCAGGGTGTTTAGTATTTAGGGTGTTTAGTATTTGGGGTTCAGGGCTTTTAGGGTTTAGGGTTTAGGGCCCTCGTCAATGTATTCGGGGACGACGTCGATGCTTCTCGCTTAGAGGCTCATGGGCTTGAAGCCATCAACACTCAACACGTCGAAGTGCGCGGATATACTTTGAAGCTTGGCAGGCAGCCAACAACCCTAGACCCAAGAGTAAGCTAGGAACAACAATGAAAGGTGACCCTTTTTGCCTTAAAAGGGGGCGTCTGGGGAAACCTAACCTTAAAAAAGGTGCCTACGTTGGGTCCTGGAAACCATGAAAGGGCTTCCGAAAATCGGGGGTAACCGTTTGCGGGACTCCCAGAATGAGGATTGTATACTAGGAGGCAGTAGGGTTCTGAGTAGGAGGGCACTGATAACTCTGTTCATAACTACACATGAACCTCCAAGCAGTACTTTGGGGGTATGTTCAGGGTAACCCCCCTGTTCTTCGAAAGCCCTTTGAGCGCCAAACCCTCAACCCTCTTTCCTTAACCCTACCCCCTGAAGCCTGAACCCTAACCCTCAACCCTCACTTGGGTCCTCTTGGCCTTCGATTCCACGCAAAAAAAGTGAGGAGTACCCCTCATATGCACCCTCATATACACCGACCCTAAACACTAAACCTTAACACCCTAAACCCTAGCCCTACACGCTAAACCCAAAGCCGTGAATCTGAAGTAACACGTAGGCCCTAGCCTGAACTCGAATGGGCAGTTCTCTAAGTTGTGTCTTTTTCTTTTTTTTTGCGAAGGGGGAGTACCCTGTATCGTACGGCACCGTTCAAGTGATAACCCCAATAGGCCGCCAACTTCGAGAACTACCCAATGTAGCAACCCCTACTGAAACCTCAACCCTAAACCCTAAACCCTAAACCCTACACCCTAAAACCCCAAATCGTAAACCCAGCAACCCTAAACTCTACAACCCTAAACCCTAAACCCTAATCCCAGCAAAGGGGCGCAGCTGGCAGTCACCCAACGGCAGGCCCAAGACGCAACGCAAGTGCTGCTCGAACTGGTCAACGCCGCAGGCTTCCTCGGGTTTAGGGTTTAGGGTTTATAGGGTTTAGGGTTTAGGGTTTAGGGTTTAGGGTTTAGGGTTTAGGGTTTAGGGTTTAGGGTTTAGGGTTTAGGGTTTAGGGTTTAGGGGTTTTGGGAACTTTGTAGGGGATCAAGGGAACCCTAAACTTGGGGTTTATAGGGCTTATAGGGTTTAGGGTTTTAGGAGTTTAGGGGTTTAGGGGTTTAGGGTTTAGGGTTTAGGGGTTTAGGGTTTAGGATTTGGGGTATCATATCTTGGGTGAGTTTTTTGGGGATACTAGTGATGAATACCCGGCCTCATGTCATGAAAAACACAACCTAAAACTTGGAGCTATAAAAAGCATCGGGGTTCAAGCCCTCTTGTCGTCTTCAAGGTATGTGGACTTTCTGGGGGGGGGGGGGGGGTTCAGAAGTTGAAGGTTCTACTCGGGGATAGAAGTGGAGAAAGCTGCGCAAGACTCGCACCCTAAACCCTAAACCCTAAACCCTAAACCCTAAACCCTAAACCCTAAACCCCAATTCCTTGCAGGCTTTGCAGCCGTGGAGCCATGGTGTAGTGGCCGGTGTTGTGTGGTCGCGGCGCGATCCTGGGTGATGAACCCTAAACCCTAAACCCTAAACCCTAAACCCTAAACCGATGGGCCCCCTGAGCCCTCTAATGTTCTTCGCATCCAAGGGTTTCGGGTTTTGAGGGTTTGGAGGGTATAGGGAGTTTTGTAGGGTTCATAGAGTTTATGGGGTTTATGGTAGTTTATGGTAGTTGTGGGGTTTCTGGGGTTTTTGGCTTTGGTATCCTACAACCTCAAGACTCCAACACCTCAAAGCCTGAATCCCTTGGCCCGGCTACAAAGCCCCAGGAGAGACCTGAACTCGCCCCTGGGCCTAAACGATGCCGTGTACCCAAAAAGCCCAATATTGCTTAATTAAGGAATATTCCTTAAATCATATGGGGATCCTTAATATGATTTAGGGTATATTCCTTAATGAAGCAATATTGGGCTCTTTGGGTAAGCTTCAGCCCAAGAAGCTCCTTCTTGACACAATGCTGGGCACCAACATGGGGGCATGCCGAAAAAAATCGCTCAAACCCCCACCCCCCCTGGACATAAATCCTAAACCCCCCTGGACATAAATCCTAAACCCTAAGCCCTAATTGCTTCGGTTCCGTTCCCTCCTCTTGACTCCAAGGGCTCTCTCAAGGACCATGCCCCCGATAAGGTACAGTACCCTCTTCAGGCAGGGTCTGGGGTTCAGGGTTATGGGTTGGACCAATTCAGCCGGTTGAGAACGTCACATTGCGCTCCCTGATTCGGTTACTGGGGCGGGGTACAAGTTTTATTAAGGTGAAACCCCCTAAACCCTAAACCCTAAACCCTAAACCCTACACCCTAAACCCCTCTGAAGCGTAGCACAGCCGCTCGTTCAGGAGCACTGAGCCGTCCTCCAGAAGGAACATCTCTACGCCGAAGATGCCCCGGGCATCGCCTCAGCAGGGCTTGGGGCTGAGGGCTTCTAAGGGCTTGGGGTTTAGGGTTTAGGGCTTGGTGGTTTAGGCTTTATAGGGCTTGTAGGGTTTAGGGTTTGAGGTTTAGGGTGTAGGGTTCAGGGTGTAGGGTTTAGGGCTTCGGGATTAGGGTTGAGGGTCTAACGCTTAGGGAGGGCTTACCAAATCCACAGAACCAGTTGCACACGAAACAGACCTGAGGCCATCAAACCTGCGCAACCACCTGAGTCCTAGAGCTCTTGAAATTTAAAAATTGTGCCTTGGTCTCGCAGCATCTACTGCATCTCCGGAGGGGGCTTCCTTCGAAAACCCTAAGCCCTAAACCCTGAAGCCTAGCCCTAAACCCTAAACCCCAAACACGAAGGCCCCACGTCAATTTCCATGATGGCCTCGGCCTTACAACCAGCGCGCCGTGAAGCTATCGAAACGGATGGCTGCACTTAGCAAAAGGCGTCCCGTCTTGGAAACCCCCGGGTTTAGGGTTTAGGGTTTAGGGTTTAGGGTTTAGGGTTTAGGGTTTAGGGTTTAGGGTCCAGGGTTTCGCCTGACGGTTCTCCGAGCCACCGAAGCTCTTGATGGCATCTGTGGCAATTTTCTGAGCCAGCTCCTGCTGCTTCTGCGTTACCTCGGCGCAACAGGTGATTTTTTTAGTTTCACCAAATCTTAGTGACCTCTTAAACTCCTTAATTCTTGAGTATACCCAAATTAATACGAAGGATCATCATCATGAAAGATAAAGGCACTGCTTAATTGAAGAAGGGGATTTGGAAGATCTGGGCTTAGTGACCTTTCAAGCACGAAACCGTTTCACCTGACAACTTGACCCAATCGCTGGAGCTTAAACCCGAGATGAATCCTAAAGCCCTGAAGCTCTAAGCCCTTACAACGGCCTAGGATTTGATGGGCTTAGGTTCTAGGGTTTTAGGGGTTTAGGGTGCAATCCGGCGGGGTTGGCCCAATCATGGGACTTTTCGGGGTATCTCTTGTGATCACTTCCTGATGAGTTTCGGGTGCCGGCGCGTCTTGTGCAGATGAACTGCTGCGATAGGTCCTCAAGATTGTGGTTGACTTGGGCTATAGCCCAGTCACCATATTACAATAAGGGCACCCATTGTGGGGTTGTTGGCTTTATAAGGGAGCTACCAAGTTGAGGGGCTTTGGGCTGAGGTTGGTTAAGGGTTTAGGGTTTAGGGTTTAGGGTTTAGGGTTTAGGGTTTAGGGTTTAGGGTTTAGGGTTTAGGGTTTAGGGTTTAGGGTTTAGGGTTTAGGCACTCTGGACCGTAAACCCTAAAGTTCAGGAACCCTGCCATGCTTGCAAAGCTGTAAGCTCCGTGGCTCGCAACACCAAAAACGTCAAACCCCCTTTTTGGCATCATACCCTAGGCCTGCAAACCCCAAACCCTTTTCGCAAACATGCCTTGGGGGCTGAATGCCCCAGCCCAAAAAAGGCGAACCTTTTTTGTTTGTATTAGGAGTACATGTAACCGGAAAGGTTCCAGGGTAACTGCCCAGCCCCTAAGAAGCTAACCCTGTTCTAGTATAAGGGGTAACATCCCCAAACCCTAAACCCTGAACCCTAAACCCTAAACCCGAAACTCCAAAAGTTGAGGGCTTAAACCACAGAAATCCGAGCTGCTCCCACAGGCGGTGTGAGGCAAGTGAAGCACACGCTGTCCCGCTGCACCGTGTGCACCACCGGGTAGGTGCCTTTAGGGTCTAGGGTTTAGGGTCAGGGTTTAGGGTTTAGGGTTTAGGGTTTAGGGTTTAGGGTTTAGGGTTTAGGGTTTAGGGTGTAGGGTTTAGGGTTTAGGGTTTAGGGTTTAGGGTTTAGGGTTTAGGGTTTAGGGTTTAGGGTTGGGCCCATCAGCGCGGAAGTATGACAAGGCATAATCTGCGCATAGATCCTGTCCCGACGCTCCTAGACTTTATAAGCCCGACACCCTAAACCGTAAACCTTACAAACCTTACAAACCTTACAAACCCTATAAACCCTATAAACCCTATAAACCCTATAAACCCCATAAACCCTATAAACCCTATAAACCCTATAAACCCCATAAACCCTATAAACCCTATAAACCCTATAAACCCCACAAACCTTGTAAACCCTGGACATGCCTAAGCCCCATGAAATGCTCGCGTGCTGCGCATGGTGACGTTCATGGTCTCGTCCACTCCCCTGGCAACCATGACTGCGAGCTCCATCTTGAAAGGAGCCCACTTCTCTACCTCGGCTTTACGAAAGCCCTGGTTGCGGTTTTGGGTTTTTGTTGCTAGGGTTTAGGGCTTAGGGCTTTGAAGGCTTAGGGTTCAGACTTAAGGGTTAAGAGTTGATGCATTTATCGGGAAAAGTCTTGGGGGTCAGAGTTTTCAGAGGCCCAGAGCAAGGCGTGGTTAGAAAATGTGCTTGCCCATACGGAACAAGTCCAGATCCTAGGGGCGACTCGGGCCTGGCTATTTTGTGAAATTGCATGTTGGGCACCCTACACCCGAAATCCTAATGCTTATAGTTTATAGGCTAAGTATGCGGGGATCTTTTAAGGGGATTGTTGGGCTCCTGCTTTTTGCTCCTGTTGGCTGCAGGAACTGATTGCAGACAAGGGTCGTAGAGCTTCCTCGGTCGTCATCACATCCAGACAACAGGCAAACTTGGCCAAAACACCGGGATGGGCTACTAGGCCTGACAGCCCTCATAGTCAACTCTACAAAGGGCCTTTGCAAGGGGGTCATAGGGTACGATCGCCCATGCTGATGTAGACCGCCTAGAAACTCTGAACTGCGGCATTGAGGGTTTGAGCTTGGCATGGGCCGAGACGCTTGCCGGCCTTGCCGCCAAGCTTTTCGAATGCTGCTGTGATGCCCTGCCTCGGACGACTTCGGGAAGTGCAGCAAATAGTCATGTAACATTTTCTTGGCACAAGCATGCGCAACAAACAAGGGCAACGCTACAGTTGCATGCAAGCAGCGCATTCGGCACGACGGCGTTGCCCTTTCCGTCGTAGGCACCATATCCTTCGTCCCCGCAAATTAAACAATGTACGACACACACATACACATAGTCACATAGTCATTCCCCACATAGAAAAGCATGCATGTTCATAAGCACCAACATATAAGGAGGGCCCCCTAGTTAAATAGAGCTACAAGGACCTTGTGTTATGTATAAGAATCCTAACTTAGGTTTTCAGCCCCTTTACTATAGTTAGTGTGGAAGGGGGGGGGGGGCCTCTTTGTAGACTTATACATATATATATATAAACATATACCACACCCGCACTCGATCCTACTGTCTACGACAACGCCTCCGTGGGATCTGACTACAGCAACTAAGCGGAAGACACATCGATTTCGAAAGGGCACATATCTATATACATATATGAATATTAATAATTTATGATGTTTTCTTATGTACATGTTGTCAACATTTTTAGTATAGCCTACATGTATTGACATCACACCTTTGCTCTGTCCGACATTCGTTTAGAACCTCACGCATTTGAGCTACGTTTCACATGGTCGTGTGTGTAGCACCAGCACCTTGCCCTGTAAAAACCCTAAACCCTAAACCCTAAACCCTAATCCCTAATCCCTAAACCCTAACCCCAAACTAACCGCTTCGATGTGGACCGGAGTAACTGCGAACGAGGAGCGGCTTTTCAGCATCATGGGGTAGCCAAACTTCTCACCGATGCTGTGCAAGTCAGCTTCCTGCTACGCGAAGAGCGACTTTTGTTAGCTCACAAGAACTTGTAGAAATCCATACGCAGTGCATTCAACACGTAGTAAAGGTCGATTCCTTCGGCCTATAGTCAAGTCTGAGCATGGTGAATATCCGCAACACTACGCTTTACCAGCGCTAGCCACTAGTTGACTCTGCATGTATGGCTTAGGGTCAGGGTTCAGGGTTCAGGGTTCAGGGTTTAGGGTTTAGGGGTTGGGGTTTTGGGTTTGGGGTTTGGGGTTTAGGGTTTACTTATGGCAAGTTTGACCCCAAAACCGCTTCAGTCTTTATAAGTGCCAAGCCCGCGCTTCCAAAATTAGAGCCCTGCAGCACCCTTGTGCCGCGCGAGACTCGGTCTCGACCTTCTCGAAGTCAGGCAGAGGCACGCCGTGCTTTTGCAAGTGCACCTTCCTAAGATGTGCATGAAGGCAAACCCCCCCCGAGGTGTAGACAAGGAAAGTTTGGGATGCTCCCGGGATGCTCCCACTTATACTAACAGTCCTTAATAGGGATTGACGGGAACCCAAAGAGCCCAATATTGCTTAATTAAGGAATATACCTTTAATCATATTAAGGATCCCTATATGATTTAAGGAATATTCCTTAATTTAGCAATATTGGGCTCTTTGGGAACGTGCCAAAACCAAGTGGTCAAAAGTCAAAAGGCACAAGCAGCTGCAAGGTGCCCGGGCAAGGCCCGCGGCAGAAAGTGTCAGCCGAGACTCTGGACGTATTTGTCCTGGCGCAAAGACCCGTCTTTCAAAAGGTACATGGGCGATTGATTAGGCCTGATAATCCCCAGAATCAACCCTATAAAGTCTTAAGAGGTTATAGGGTGTAACGGCCCATCCTGGTCAGCCCAAACCTGACGTCTCAACCCCAATGTCGGGTTTGTGGCTTCCGACAAAAATTTCCTGACCATGCGTGGTTCAAATCTTTAGCGGTCTCTCAGCGCCTATAGCCACTAGTTGCTCAAGAAGCCTCTCGAAAACATCAAATGTTCGGCCTTATAGGAGCAAAATAGGGATGACTATTTTTGTTGGGGGTCCTAAGCAAACGGTAATATAAAACTCTGAATCAAAACTCCGTAGGCCCCTTCAGCTTTGCCTCCACGTAAGCTCGCACCAAGGAAACAGGGCCCCGACGACATCCCATCTTCATGAAGCACCTTCTTTCAAGCACCTGCATTGGGTAGACCTGCAATTGCCTGCCACATGCGGCAATCCTGAGAACCGGCGCCGCCGACAGGACCCCACCTCCTTCCCCGGCCCCCAACCTTTCCCTTAGCCAACTCTGTAGCCGATGCAAATCCCATACCCTAAACCTTAAACTTGACTCAGTCCAAATCCCAAAGCCTTAAAGCCTATAAAACCTCAAGGGGCTTTAGCTGTGCACCCAACGTCCCCTCCCATCAGAGGAACCTTCGAACGCTAATACAACACGGGACGCAGAATTAGCTATTAGGTCTACTGGCAAAAGCCCTAAATCCGAAAGCCTGATAAGAACGGCATATGGGTTTGTTCGATGATGGTGGGGCGGGCGACAGGTGTTGGGATCAGGGTCTGCTTCGGGGGTATGTTTCGGGTATGTCTCACAGCATCATGACCTGCTTTACCTGCAACTTCGGGAGTATGTTAGGGGGCATATGTTTCGGGATATGTTTCGTGGGTGCGCAACCCGTGTGCCCTTCTTAAACCCTGGGAGCACCCAAACATGGACAAACCCATGTTCTATGGACCGATAAAACGGGGATATGGAGCCCACGTGCAAGCGCCTCGTTTCAAAAGTGCAAGACCCGTGGGCCGCCACCGTAAACAACTGCAATATTGGGTTTGTGGTTGTGGGCTTTGGGCTTGGGGTTTAGGTTGCAGCGATCCCCATTACCCAAAGCCCTAAACCCCATAACCCTATATAACCCTATATAACCCTATATAACCCTATATAACCCTATATAACCCTATATAACCCTATATAACCCTATATAACCCTATATACCCCACAACCCTATAACCCTAAACCCTCAAGCCTCAACCCTCACCCTGAATTTGCACGCCTGGATGAGTTTCACAACGAAAGGCAGCGGCTGTATTGGAACGCCCTGCTGGTGGAGCTCCTCCAACACCTTAGTGATGAAGAAGTCAGGGTTTAGGGTTTGGGGTTTAGGGGTTTAGGTTGTAAAGTCAGCCCCTCTAACCCTGAACCTGACTTGGAGGTTCATGGCGATGAGCAGGGTTAGAACGTATGGCAGCTATACTTATGACCCTTTTAGGGTACTTAGAATCCTACTTTAGCTACCCATGAACCTCCAAGTAAGCCTTCACCTGAACCCTATAAGCCTACATTACAAAAAAACCTTTAGTGAGACCCTAAACCCTAAACCCTAAGCCCTAAGCCCTAAACCCTAAACCCTAAACCCTAACCCTAAACCCTAAACCCTTAGGATTGTTGAGTGCTGGTGCCGTACTTCCGTGGCCAAGGCGCCTCCGCGTTGACGTGCTCCACCTCCAAGGTGAGGATGTCGCACTTCTTGGCCAGCTCTCGAACCTTGTCGGCATCCTGGCTCTGGTTTAGGGTTTAGGGTTTAGGGTTTAGGGTTTAGGGTTTAGGGTTTAGGGTTTAGGGTTTAGGGTTTAGGGTTTAGGGTTTAGGGTTTAGGGTTTAGGGTTTAGGGCTTAGGGCTTAGGGCTTAGGGAAGTTTAGGGTTTAGGGGTTCAGGGTTTAGGGTCCAGCTGGCACCATCCGATGCGTTCATGGTAAGTTAAGGGGCTCGCTTTCGGGGCCATAGGCACGTGGATGGCTCACGAAGCTTTACCTCCAGAAGTGCTGCTGCAGGCGTTGAATGAGCTGGGCAAACGCCGACGACTGCATGGAAACGAACGACGAACTTGCGACTTGCCAGGTTAGTGGCCTAAATCCTAAGCCCTAAACCCTAAAGACTGAAACCCTAAACCCTAAACCCTAAACCCTAAACCCTAAACCCTAAACCCTAAACCCTAAACCCTAAACCCTAAACCCTAAACCCTAAACCCTAAACCTGTCCTGGAAGCTGCCCTTGACCGACATCTCAGCAACCTGCCGCGGGCAATGGCTCAATGGTAGCAGCGTGGGCAACTTACGGCTTCGGCTCTCACACAGTCGCGTCGCGTGCTTGCATCTTAGGGTTTCTTAGGGTCTAGGGTTTAGGGTTTAGGGTTTAGGGTCTATGGAAATTGCAGTGCAGTCTCCAATGCTGTGTTGAAACCAAGGATGCCGCACTACAGTAACCAAATGGGTTACGAAAAGAGGGGACCCCTGATATATAGGGCCCCTGTAGACCCCCAAGTAGTAGGATCCCCTTATGATAAGGACCCAAAAAAAGTACCCCCAAATCAAAGACTTCGGCTGGCTTATATAGGCACTTTGCAGGTCTTCACGCAGTGGCAGAAGCCTGTCCAGCAGGAGACTTCTCTCCAAGTGGATCGAGCACGCACATTCTCACCTGAGTTCTGCCAAACACACCTGTCTCCATCATGCGTGGTGATAAACCCTAAACCTCAAAATCCGATAAACCCTAAACCCAAACACCAAAACGCCTCAACTACCTGAAGCCCACGGTCATTCTCTTCGGCTCAAGGATACCGGATCCGTGCACAATCAAAAATGTCGGAATTAATACCCTAAACCCTAAACCCTAAACCCTAAACCATTATGGCATCTTAGGGGCCCCGAGCCGGTGTGCAGCGTAGACCATCATTCGGCCCAGCTGTCCTGGCGCAACGCGGCCGCAGAAGAGCGAAATCAGGGTGGCGCGGCGCATGAGCTGAAACGTTCCCAAAGAGGGCCCAATACATTCACGAATTAAGGGATATGGACTTTAAGTCACATTAAGTTACATTAAGGATCCCTATAGAATTTTGAGGAATATACCTGTTTTAAGGGGTGTTTTCATTCACTCTCGCCTCCGCCCAAGCAGCCCACAGTGCGCTTGTCCATGGCGGCCTTGATTGCGAGTCAGAAAGTGGAGGGAAGTCAGGGTTTAGGGTTTAGGGTTTAGGGTTTACGGTTTAGGGTTAGGGTGTAGGGTTTCCTTGGGGACCGAATGAACCCTAGAATATACTACTCGAAAAATATTGGGTGTTAAGGTGTTGGTAGTGTTTAGGGCATCAGGTTTAGGGGCTCGGCCTTCGCCTGGAACAAAACCGAAATGGTGCACCGGCACACAAGGCACACTTGATGTACGGAAATGTTAGAGAGTCCTTGCTGCCGAGTGGCTAAAAGGCTCCTTGAAAGGGCGGGTGATGCTCGCTATTAAGAAATGGCTGCGGTGGAAGTTGCATGATGCATGCCATGCGAAGCCGGCAGGGCTTTCCCAAGGCCCCCCAACCTTACGACTTTCAGTCCTGGCACAATCAGCGACAAGTCGCGCACCTGCTAGTGGAACGTCCGCCGCAAGTCTGACTCGCGCAGCCGCGCCATGACAGCAAAACTTGTCCCAATTTGAGGTGCGTCCTGCCCCCCCCATTCCCTTCCCGAGGCCGCCAAGAAGCACTTGCCGGCCCTCCTCGCATGTCGGGAGCCTGAGCTTGCCACACTTGATCCTCCTGCTTAAGAAGCCCCCCCAAAACATGAAAAAACAGTCTTCCTTAGCAGGGAGGCTCTTAAGAAAATCATGGAGCTCTGGTTCTTTTGGGTTTGGGGGTTTTAGGGTGCCTGCAGTGTCAAGAGATATGACGAGCAGCCATCATCCCGGCTGCCATGAGGGACAACTCTGAAGGCGGAGGCCTTCCGAAGCAGCAGAAGGCTGGGATTTGAAGCTGCTAGTGCTTAAGAACCCCGAAAAACTGAAGATAAGAATCCCTAGATTGCCCTTAGAGCGAAGAATATATATATATATATATGTAGAGACTTATATTTATATTTATATTGTTTATAATTATAATTCTGTCTATTTATATTCATTTTCTACATTTGTTAATCTATATTTATATTTAATCTATATTCATATTGATATTTCTGTTTCTGTTTATATGTATGTTTATATTCATGTTTATATTTATAAATAAATAAATAAATATATATATATATATATGTAGTTTCTTTTTCATTTTCATTTTCATATTCATATTCACATTTACATTTACATTCACATTTATATTTAAATTTACATTTTCAGCTACATTTATATTTAAATTATATTTATATTTACAATTTCGTATCTATATATGTATATTTATATTTATATTTATGTTTACATTATAGTTATATGTGTTGATTTATTATTTCTTGCTTTTGTTTCGCGGGGGGGGGGGGGGGGCTCTTAAGCAAACAGCAGGAAGGGCCCATGTAGGCCCCCAACCTGCCCAAACACCCAAACTTTGGGGCCTGATGGTCTCGAAGCGAGGGGGCGGCATGTCTGTCAAGGACACGTCGCCGCTGTTCACCAGGCGGCACCTTCCCAGACGCCCCCCCTTTGTTCGCCCCCAAAAAATGCGGGATGCTCAGCCCTGAGCCCTAACCCCTAAACCCCTAAACCCCTAAACCCCTAAACCCCTAAACCCCTAAAACCCCTAAAACCCCTAAACCCCTAAACCCCTAAACCCCTAAACCCCAAACCCTCAACCCCAACAGTACGCAGACTTCGGGTTTGGAGCTTTCAGCTTTCGTGGGTGGGAGGTTTGACCCGCCGACGCTGTGCAAAAGGGTGCCAAAGTCATTTACCCAAAGAGCCCAATATTGCTTAGCTAAGGAATATTCCTTAAATCATATAGGGATCCTTAATATGATTTAAGGTATATTCCTTAACTAGGCAATATTGGGCTCTTTGGGTACCCCTACAATACAGCGCAGTAAATGCGGGGCGTACATCAAATCCACTGCATCTGAACACCCCAAACCCAAAATGCTTAGTTGCTGAGTTCATAAGCCCCAAAAAAGGTGTATTACCGTATCCCCAAAAAGTGTAAAGTGTAAATCATTCAGCTACTAAGAAACCCCAAAACCCTCTGCTGCTAGAAGAATCTGGGGGGGTTCCGAATTTAGGGCTACCCTTTGTGGGGCTCCTGATTGTAAGGGGATCCTACTATTTGGGGGCCTATTTCAACTATACTCCCCTTAGAACCGTAATAACAAATATGGCTTAATACCCTCTTGGGTTTTATATAAACAAAAATGAAAAATAATTCCCGAGGGGGACATTGTCAAGGAATCCTAAACCCTAAACCCTAACCCTAAACCCTCCTATTCTCGTAAACCCCCCAGCCAAGCTCCAGGCTCGAAGATGGTGCCAAAGTACTCGTGGAAGTCTTCAGCGTTGAGCCAAAAGAAACCTCATGGACAGGTTTGGGGTGTGTAGGGTTTAGGGTGTATAGGGTTTGGGGTGTATAGGGTTTAGGGTGTATAGGGTTTAGGGTGTTTATAGGTTTAGGGTTTACGACTTATAAGGTTTAGGCGCACAGGTAAAGGCCTAGAGTTGGAGGTTGCGACTCTCACTCTCACAACTGGCGCACACGCAGGGTTTAGGGTACCCAAAGAGCCCAATATTGCTTAATTAAGGAATATTCCTTAAATCATATAGGGAGCCTTAATTAAGCAATATTGGGATCTTTGGGTCTTAGGGGTGTCTGCCACGCCTACGTCACCGCTGAACTCCTGCCACTCAGAACTACAACGAAGCTGCTGTCGCAGCACGGGCAACTACCCAGGTTCACTTCAATGAAGCTTGGCGTGAACGGGCACTGAACGTGGAGGATTGCAGCTGCTCTGGCAGTCCCGCGCACTTCGGACAAGTTGCCATCCTCTCGTCTTTCCTTAATTTCGGCACACACTTGTGCAGGTCGCTGGCACGAAGCTTCTGTGCAGCTGCTCCAGTCTCTAGCCCGCTTGCAACTTGACATACTGGTCCACTCTCCTAGGGGCAACTCGCTACAAGTAACTGTACTAGTTACACCAAACACTATCAGGGCTGCTATGTGAAAATCCCGTCCATCACCGTCATGGAGCCACTGGCAAAGGTGCTCGTGCCCTAGGCCAAAAAAGGCTAACCTTGCAATTTTGGTAGGATTACATGCATACACACCCCCAAAGGATAAAGGTTACCTACTCAGCTGCTAAGTGCTGTCAAGGCTCGGGGTACTTCTCAGATCGTGAGAGGTTGTAGGGCACCGTGATGTCCTGCAAACCACCTTTGGAGGGCCAAGGCTTCTCAGGATGGGATGTCCCTAAGCCCTAAACCCTAAACCCTAAACCCTAAAGTAACCTACGGGAACAAAAAACAGGGTGCACCTTTTTGGTTTCATAAGGGGGTTGAAATAGAAGGGAACCTAAAAAACCCCTCAAGAAGGGCGCGGAGGGGGGGGGGGGGGGGGGGAATGCGGGGACCTACTCTGAATCTTAGGAATGCCCGCTCTCAAGGCTCATATGGGGGTTTACGAAAATCTGGGAGCCTTCATATCGACCCCCAAATAGTAGGATTCCCTTATAATAAGGACCCCAAAAAGCTAAACCCTAAACCCTAAACCCTAAACCCTAAACCCTGAACCCTAAACCCTAAACCCTAAACCCTAAACTAATTTCAGAAACCCCCATATCATCCCTGAGGTGCCCCCCAAGGCACCATCGTAGACGCCCGGGCCGCCGCAGAAAAGCTGGAGGTACAAGCCGCCTTAGGGTTTAGGGTTAGGGTTTAGGGTTAGGGTTTAGGGTTTAGGGTTTAGGGTATGGGCTCTGAAATGGGGACTCCTTGTATACCTCTTATATACCCCAATACAACCCAAGGGCCCACATACTTCAGAACCCTTCAAAGGAGGTAAGGGACCATATTCCGGGACCATGTACCGTACCTGCCCTTGCCCTTGGATCCCTAAACCCCAAACCCCAAACCCCAAACCCTAAACCCTTAACCCTAAACCCTAAATCCTAAACCCTAAACCCTAAACCCTGAGGAAGCACGGGACCATATTCAGGGACCGGGTTTAGGAAACGCTTTTGGGGGAACCAAACTCTCGGACTCGACGGGAGCAGCCCCACACCGCACTGTGAAGGGTTTCAGGGTTTAGGGTTTAGGGTTTAGGGTCTTAGGGTTTCAGGGTTTTAGGGTCTTGGGGTTTTAGGGTTTAGGGTCTTAGGGTTCTTAGGGCTTTAGGTCTTAAGTCTTAAGTTTTTTTTTGTTTTTAAGGGTGGGCTCTTAGGGTTTTAGGGTCTTAGGCTTTTAGGGTTTTAGGGCTTTTAGGTTTTTAGGGACTTAGGGCTTAGGGTTTCAGGGTCTTAGGGTTTAGGGTGCCTCATCATCATCATCATCATCATCATCATCATCATCATCATGAACGCATCGCAGGTTTTCAGGGCCAGGCATGGTTCACAACTTGAGGTCCACAAGGACACACCCGACTCACCCGACAATCATTGTTGGATACGGGGTTTCCGAAATTAGGGGTACCTTGTTTTGGGGTCCACAAAACAAGGGGGAATCCTACTATTTGGGGGCCTACTTTAGGGGTCCCCTATTTTCGTGAGGCACCCTAAGCCCTAAACCTTGGGATGTTCATCCTTTTTCTAACAGCCCTCACTAGGGATTATAGTAGGAGATACTCTAATCCCAAGTAAGGACTGTTAGTATAAGGGGGAAGATCCCAACAGCTGCCAAATTCCAGGCCTTCCCAGTGAACTGCTCGATTAACAGCGTACGGATAATACGGATTCAGCCTGCCATCTGGTGGAGGGAGGATCAGGAACAATGCCGCCAAGACAAGAGTGCAAGCAGTAGAGTTTAACCTCAAACCATCAACCGGAAACCCCAAACCCTAAGCACAAAAAAGGTTTATAGGGTTCAGGGTTCAGGGTAGAAGGAGGGACCCCTAGAATGGACTCGCAATCTTATTCCTCCATAGAACCCATATACAACCCCTATATAGACCTTCTATAGTCCCGAGAAAGGCTAAGTAGCCCCTATAAAAAACCCCGAAGGTCCCTCCTAAGGGTCCCTCCGAAAGTAGTCCCTTGAGACATGCAGCCGTCAGGTTTGCAATCAAGGGGTTGGGACTCGTACCGCTATAAGGTTGTACCCCGAAAGGTGTCCCCTAAAAACACTCCTAAGATGGCCCGTACCACTCAAGATTCCGAGACAACCGCAAAACTTCTAGAAACTAACCGCTTTTGCCTCAGATTCTTTGTTGTCACCAAGATGATGTTTCGGACGCCCATTTCATTGCACGGGAACTCGGACAATGGGCCCAGGCCAAACCACTTTTAACCCTACATTCATCAGCGCTATATAGCCCCCAAGAACTTAACCGAACCCTATCTACCCCTTATAGCCCTAAACCCAGAGAGCCCAAGACCCTTACTTGAGGAATCTACCACAAAGTAGAATAGGAAGCCTACATGTCACTTAAAGTCTACTTCTTAACTAAGGGGTATAAAGGGCTGTCTTTGGGAACCCCGAACTACAAGAGGCCCCTAAACCCTAAACCCTAAACCCTTTTCCAAGAGACTTCGCCCGCCCCCTAAACCCTAAACCCTAAACCCTAAACCCTAAACCCTAAACCCTAAACCCTAAACCCTAAACCCTATTCACCCCGACGCCTCACGCCCTGGAGCTCGCACTTCGTGGGGTGAGGCCTGCAGACGAAGAGTGTGTCCTGGCACTGGAGACAAGCTCAGGGTCCCTCCACTGGGGTTTTAGGGTTTACAGGGCTTAGCTTCAGGACATTTAGGGCATTTAGGGCATTTAGGGCTTGGGGGTTTAGGGTGTAGATGCAAGGGCCCAAGTGTTGAACATGCCGAGGGTTCAGTGTTGAGTGCTATGAGGGCCCCGCCCCAGGTCTTCGAGTTTAGAGGTTGCGTGGAGGCGAATCAAGGTGTTCGGGGCTCTGGCTCCCCCCAATCAAGTGATAACTCGAACCTACATGACGAAAAAAACGCTAAATATCTAGGGTCCAAGCATGGGCCCTTGATTTGGGTCCCTTGTTATACAACCCTTACATACAATATGTAGAATAAGGGCCCATACTTCGGATCCCTATAAACAAGGGTAAGGGACCACACGACGGGCCCATGGTTCCAACCTTAAGACAAAAAACTACTCGTCTGCTCATATCTTATCTATGTGTATATCTACTACCTGCACATGCATATATATATATATATATATTATATCTGTGTGTGTGTGTGTGGTGGGTGTGTCTGTGTGTGTGTGTGTGCGTGAATACATGTGCACCTGCATACATAGATAGATAGATGGATAGATATAGATTGTACAGATATACATAGTGTTTGCAGAATACAATCGAATTCAATGTTTGTCGTTGTACTTCTGGGATTTAGTGGTATCAAAGGGATGACCGAATCGATCTGTAGGAGGATTATGGCCAAAATGTATCCGATGGTGAGATATGGTGAGAAGAGGTTCCTAGGGTTTAGGGTTTCACAACAAAACACAGCGGGAATGTCCCGCTGCAAGTCGTGGATGTAGATAAAGAGGCGATCGGGGGAGACCTCAGTGGTCTCAACGGCATTTCCTCGCTTAACTTCGTTGGTTTATTTGTGCCACCTGCCAAGCAAACCCTACACCGCCTAAACCTTAACACCCTAAGCCCTAAACCCTAAACCCTCGGTCTAGGGAGGCGCCTGAAGAGCAGTGGCTGAGGCTTTTGCAGCTCTATCAGGGGCTCTTGAAGTGAAAGTGGCTACGAGGCAGGTTCATCTGCCAAGGTTGAGTCTACGCGGCCTTGGGCGTTGCCATGACTGCATACACAATTGCAGCTTCACCCCCAGGCCCAAGGTCCCAAATCCACAACCCACCCACGTGCTTGTGAAGCTGGGCGAGCCCCTGCAAACCTCCAGCTGCCAAATCCCCGAAGAACAGCTGCAGTCCATGTTCGACCCTTATAGCTAAGACACATCCTCGGTGTAAAACCGCCCTGCAACGCCACCCGTGAGGTCGGCGAGGGCGTCCTTGCGTCCGCGGTCACACTTGTTTTCGCTTTTGGGGATCTGGAGCACAGGATCGTACGGATTCATTCCCCGTGCTCCCTAAATCCTTTGGAACCTGGAAACTGCTTCGAAGAAAACCAGAAACCCGCCGAAAAAGGCAAACAAAAGCTTCCTAGCCACGCTGGACTACAAAAATGTTGTCAGCAATCCGTTCTGCTGCAAAGGCGAATAGCCCCTAAACCCTAAATCCTTTTTGTTACCCTAAACCCTAAACCCTAAACCCTGAACCCTAAACCCTACCATCAAGAACTCCAGGTTCACGCGTCCTCGACCTTGCCGCCCCCATTGAGGGCCTCCCAGCCTGATGGAGGAACTCAAGGGGTGCCGGGTCGAAGGGTTTAGGGTTTAGGGTTTAGGGTTGCTGTTTGTCGGGTTTAAGAAAAGTTGACCCCCATCCTTCCAGTTTAGGTCCCTGGATTTTCGAGATTTGAGTGAGATTAGTGAAATTTGTGATGGGGAAGCGGATTTGGGGGGTCTGAGAGGGGGGGCTTAGGTTCTCTTGTGCATTCAGTGGGCTTGGATTTGCAGAGACTTCAGATCCCGCAAGCATTGGTGGGGCCTCCTAGCTGCCCCCCTTTCAGTTTTGGGATTTAGGGTTTAGGCCTCAGGCCTTGCCACCAAGCGAGCATCATGAGCATCAGCTGCTCAGGTTTTGCCCCAGCGCGGGCCACCAAGCGAGCATCATGAGCATGAGCTGATCAGGCTTCGCCCCAGCACGGGCCGCCAAGCGAGCATCATGAGCATCAGCTGCTCAGGCTTTGCCCCAGCACGGGCCGCCAAGCGAGCATCATGAGCATCAGCTGCTCAGGCTTTGCCCCAGCCCGGGCCACCAAGCAAGCATCATGAGCAGCAGCTGCTCAGGCTTTGCCCCACCACGGGCCGCCAAGCGAGCATCATGAGTTTTTCTGGGCCGCCAAGCGAGCATCATGAGCATCAGCTGCTCAGGCTTTGCCCCAGCACGGGCCACCAAGCGAGCATCATGACCATCAGCTGCTCAGGCTTTGCCCCAGCACGGGCCGCCAAGCGAGCATCATGAGCATCAGCTGCTCAGGCTTTGCCCCAGCCCGGGCCGCCCAAGCGAGCAACGTGAGCATCAGCTGCTCAGGCTTTGTCCCAGCACAGGGCCGCCAAGCGAGCATCATGAGCATCAGCTGCTCAGGCTTTGCCCCAGCACGGGCCACCAAGCGAGCATCATGAGCATCAGCTGCTCAGGCTTTGCCCCAGCACGGCCGCCAAGCGCGTATCATGAGCATCAGCTGCTCAGTCTTTGCCCCAGCACGGGCCGCCAAGCGAGCATCATGAGCATCAGCTGCTCAGGCTCTCGCTTCATGAGCATCAGCTGCTCAGGCAAAGTTTTTCTGGGCCGCCAAGCGAGCATCATGAGCAGCACGGGCCGCCAAGCGAGCATCATGAGCATCAGCTGCTCAGGCTTTGCCCCAGCACGGGCCGGCCAAGCGAGCATCATGAGCATCAGCTGCTCAGGCTTTGCCCCAGCATGGGCCGGCCCCAGCATGTGCCGCCAAGCGAGCATCATGAGCATCAGCTGCTCAGGCAAAGTTTTTCTGGGCCGCCCCAGCACGGGCCGCCAAGCGAGCATCATGAGCATCAGCTGCCCAGGCTTTGCCCCAGCACAGGCCGCCCAAGCGAGCATCATGAGCATGAGCTGCTCAGGCTTTGCCCCAGCACGGCCGCCAAGCGCGTATCATGAGCATCAGCTGCTCAGTCTTTGCCCCAGCACGGGCCGCCAAGCGAGCATCATGAGCATCAGCTGCTCAGGCTTTGCCCCAGCACGGCCGCCAAGCGAGCATCATGAGCATCAGCTGCTCAGGCTTTGCCCCAGCACGGGTCGCCATTATGAGCATGAGCTGCCCAGCCTTTGCCCCAGCACGGGCCGTCAAGCGAGCATCATGAGCATCAGCTGCCCAGGCTTTGCCCCAGCACAGGCCGCCCAAGCGAGCATCATGAGCATGAGCTGCTCAGGCTTTGCCCCAGCACGGGCCGCCAAGCGAGCATCATCAGCATCAGCTGCTCAGGCTTTGCCCCAGCACGGGCCACCAAGCGAGCATCATGAGCATCAGCTGCTCAGGCTTTGCCCCAGCCCGGGCCGCCCAAGCGAGCAACATGAGCATTGTCCCAGCACGGGCCGCCAAGCGAGCATCATGAGCATCAGCTGCTCAGGCTTTGCCCCAGCACGGGCCACCAAGCGAGCATCATGACCATCAGCTGCTCAGGCTTTGCCCCAGCACGGGCCGCCAAGCGAGCATCATGAGCATCAGCTGCTCAGGCTTTGCCCCAGCATGGGCCGCCAAGCGAGCATCATGAGCACCAGCTGCTCAGGCAAAGTTTTTCTGGGCCGCCAAGCGAGCATCATGAGCAGCACGGGCCGCCAAGTGAGCATCATGAGCATCAGCTGCTCAGGCTTTGCCCCAGCACGGGCCGGCCAAGCGAGCATCATGAGCATCAGCTGCTCAGGCTTTGCCCCAGCATGGGCCGGCCCCAGCATGTGCCGCCAAGCGAGCATCATGAGCATCAGCTGCTCAGGCAAAGTTTTTCTGGGCCGCCCCAGCACGGGCCGCCAAGCGAGCATCATGAGCATCAGCTGCCCAGGCTTTGCCCCAGCACAGGCCGCCCAAGCGAGCATCATGAGCATGAGCTGCTCAGGCTTTGCCCCAGCACGGGCCGCGAATCATGAGCATCAGCTGCTCAGGCTTTGCCCCAGCACGGGCCACCAAGCGAGCATCATGAGCATCAGCTGCTCAGGCTTTGCCCCAGCACGGCCGCCAAGCGAGCATCATGAGCATCAGCTGCTCAGGCTTTGCCCCAGCACGGGTCGCCATTCTGAGCATGAGCTGCCCAGCCTTTACCCCAGCACGGGCCGTCAAGCGAGCATCATGAGCATCAGCTGCCCAGGCTTTGCCCCAGCACAGGCCGCCCAAGCGAGCATCATGAGCATGAGCTGCTCAGGCTTTGCCCCAGCACGGGCCGCCAAGCGAGCATCATCAGCATCAGCTGCTCAGGCTTTGCCCCAGCACGGGCCACCAAGCGAGCATCATGAGCATCAGCTGCTCAGGCTTTGCCCCAGCCCGGGCCGCCCAAGCGAGCAACATGAGCATTGTCCCAGCACGGGCCGCCAAGCGAGCATCATGAGCATCAGCTGCTCAGGCTTTGCCCCAGCACGGGCCACCAAGCGAGCATCATGAGCATCAGCTGCTCAGGCTTTGCCCCAGCACGGCCGCCAAGCGCGTATCATGAGCATCAGCTGCTCAGTCTTTGCCCCAGCACGGGCCGCCAAGCGAGCATCATGAGCATGAGCTGCTCAGGCTTTGCCCCAGCCCGGGACACCAAGCGAGCATCATGAGCATCAGCTGCTCAGGCTTTGCCCCAGCACGGGCCGCCAAGCGAGCATCATGAGCATCAGCTGCTCAGGCTTTGCCCCAGCACGGGTCGCCATTATGAGCATGAGCTGCTCAGGCTTTGCCCCAGCACGAGCCGCCAAGCGAGCATCATGAGCATCAGCTGCTCAGGCTTTGCCCCAGCACGGGCCGCCAAGCGAGCATTGCGCCTTAGGCCTTAGGCCTTAGGCCTTAGGGTTTAGGGTTTAGGGGTTAGGGTTTAGGATTTAGGGAGACGCTTGGCATACCCACTGGCCTCCCATGTCCTCCTCTGAGACAGCGCTGGGACTCAGCCGCAGTGTGTGGATCTTCGCCTAAGCACCGCACGCGACCAGGGACGCCGGTCCACGTTCAAACCCTGACAACCCTGACAACCCTAAACCCTCAACCCTAAACCCGACCTAGTTTGAGATTGTGGAGGATCCGGGGGGGGGGGGGGCTTCGAAGGAACGGGATTCAAGAGAGAACGACTTTTGAGTTTTGCATTCAGTGCTGCCCGAAGAAGCTCCAGGGCTGGTTTAGGGTTTATAGGGTTTAGGGTTTAGGGTTTAGGGTTTAGGGTTTAGGGTTTAGGGTTTAGGGTTTAGGGTTTAGGGTTTAGGGTGTGCACGAACAGTGCTGGAACTATCAAGCCAGCATCAAGCCTGGATAGACTGCCTGGTTGCTTGGGGTAGTGCTTGGGGTTTGTTGTTTGGGCTTTTTTGCCGCCCGCTTAGCTGAACAGTACGTCCACATTGCAGGGATTAAGCTCGATTCGGACAGGAAAACTACACACTGCCGCATCATGGACGCACGCATCGAGTCGTTGATGCGTCTCGCATCACGTGTCACAGTGACATCAGCAGAAAGCTACCCAGAGAGCCCAATATTGCTTAATTAAGGAATATCCCTTAAATCATACTAAGGATCCCTATATGATTCAAGGTATATTCCTTAATTAAGCAATATTGGGCTCTTTGGGGCTAGGTTATTTAAACACAAGCCGCCCCCAGCTATAGGCCTTCCAGAGACCAAACACAGTTTTGGAACAACAACCCAGAGAGCCCAATATTGCTTAATTAAGGAATATACCTTAAATCATATTAAGGATCCCTATATGATTTAAGGAAGATTCCTGAATTAAGCAGTATTGGGCTCTTTGGGAAAGAACCCAAGCCCACCAAGCCCTTACGCTAACCACACTGTCGTACGACCTCGAAACGCTCCGCAACTCGCGGTCTGACACACTCACCTAGAATCAGCACCTACCTGAAAGCACCGCCTCAGGCAATGTCTCTCTGATTCGTTGAACCTATCTTGCATCAGAATGCTTCGATTGCAAGATTTGATTCTCTTCTGTGACGCATCCAGAGTTTAGTCCGAGGCTCGTAAGCTTTCTCAATGAGGCTCGGCCAGATGACGTTCCTCAAGGGGTTTAGGGTTTAGGGTTTAGGGTTTAGCGTTTAGGGTTTAGGGTTTAGGGCGATCCCAACCGCGCAGCAAGAGGGCCCTAGAGCAGCGCCGGTCGGAAGTCTGCTTTGCATGACTAGGATGGCCCTTAGAGCCCTCTGAGAACATATTCCTCAACATTGTCCTCTTGCAGCTGTTTAGGGTTTAGGGTTTAGGGTTTAGGGTTTAGGGTTTAGGGGATCCTCTTGCACACAACAAGGGAAACTATAAGATGTCCCGAGAGCCTACCGAGATCATTCTGCCAGCTGCAGAAACTGACCCTAAACCCTAAACCCTAAACCCTAAACCCTAAACCCTAAACCCTAAACCCTAAACCCTAAACCCTAAACCCTAAACCCTAAACCCTAAACCCTAAACCTTAAAAACTAAAACCCCCCCCCCCCCCCGACCTGAGCAAGGAAGTCTCAATGCCGAGCTGCGGGAAATACTCTGAGCGGCAACAGATGGGCACGTTGACGTCGGTATCATTCCTGCAACCCAATATCCCTTAATTAAGGAATAGCTCTCAGCTGCAACCCAGACACTCCAATATAGGGTTTAGGGTTTAGGGTTTAGGGATATATCCCTTAATTCAGGAATAGACCTTAAATTATTAGTAGGATCCCTAATATGATTTAAGGTCTATTCCTTAATTAAGGGATATTGGAGTCTTTGGGAACGCAGACCCCTAAGGGTCCAAGCACCTGATTCTTATATACTTGGGGCCCAAAGCCCCTATATAGCAAGAACTTTAAGGCCCAAGTCTAAGTATTCCCTAAACTATATAGCAAGTACTTTAAGGCCCAAGTCTAAGTGTTCCCTAAACCCGAAACCAAAAACCCTAAATCCTAAACCCTAAATAGGTACATGGACCCTTAGGCGACGGCGCGGTCCCCATTTCCGCCCCTTCTCCCACAGACTTGTATTCGGAATGTCCCACCTTGCTTCCACATCCCACCCCGATCTTCCAAAACCCCTTAATTAAGGAATGTACCCTAATTCATAAAACATGGTCCTTAGTTGAGGTTTCGGAACCCTAAACCCTAGCCCTAAACCCTAGCCCGAAACCCTAAACCCCTTGATCAAGGGGTTTTGGAAGATCTGGGTAAAGCCGGCTCATGCCAACCCCTCCCTCCTTCCCGAGCCGAAACAAAGCGCACAACCTCGCACCCTGCGCAAGTCCTAGGGTTTAGGGTTTAGGGTTTAGGGTTTCGGGTTTAGGGTTTGGGGGTTAAGGGTACTATTTGCTTAAGAACCCCCCCAAACAATAACTAATAATAATAATCCCTAAATTACCTTATAAGGAAGATTTTCTTGTCTTTTTTTTGGGCGGAATTCTTGAGCAATTCGTAGCTTACCCAGATCTTCCAAAACCCTTTGTTTTTTGAACATGCCCGAATTTCAACTGAGGATCATTATGATGAGTTAGGGTATGTTCCTTACTTAGGGGGTTTTGGAAGATCTGGGTAAGGTCTCCCAGCATTCTGCAGCGCATCTGTTGCAAAGAGCGGACCTTCCCGGTCGCCCGACTGGAACGTAGTCGTCCTGAGGGCTGTTTACCCAGAGGCAAGCCAGGAGATAATTTGGGGTTTACGGATATTAAGGGTACCATATTGGGGCCCTTATGCTAAGGGAATCCTACACTTTTGCGGGTCTGTATCAGGAGTCCCTGTACTCGAAAACCCCCCAAACAACTTCTCATCTGATCCTGCAGCTTATCTTTCAAGCATGTCCCAGGCGGAGTTCGCTTTTGATCAGAATCCCTACTGAGAAAGACCATGTCACACAAAACAGGTTGAACCCTTTGGAACCCAGACCCGGAACCCCAAACCCCAAAATCCGAACCTCGACCCTGATGTGCAAGAGAGCTGTGAGAAGATCAGGCCCAGGCGTCGGATCCAAGCCTACTCCGGCTCCCCACTTTTTTCGGGCATTGTAGTGGGGATGCTGCATGAGTCTGCTATGTTTTTTTTTGGGGGGGGGGGGGGGGGGGCGGGGGGGGGAGGGTATACAGATGGCACCCCAATCTTATCCATGTTCGGAAACCCATTAGGGTTTAGGGTTCAGGGTTCAGGGTTCAGGGTTCAGGGTTTAGGGTTTAGGGTTTGGGGACTTCACAGCTAGCTTCGGGGGCTGCGCTCCGACGCCCCGAAATCTTGCAGGCGGGCGTCCACTTCCACGCGCATCCAGGTGCCGTGCTTGTAGAGCCTTGCGATGTACACCGACCTGGCAGCTTTCCAAAACAAAGACTCCAATACCCCTTAATTTAGGGAATATACCTGAAAGTTCATATTAGGGATCCTACTATAGTTTAAGGGATCCTACTATAGTTTAAGGTCTATTCCTTAATTAAGGGATTTTTTGAGCCTTGCGATGTACACCGACCTGGCGGCTCTCTCTTTTTTGCCCGGGGCTATCCTAGCCTATAACACCTGAACAAGGCCCTTTGTAGGGTTGGATAGGGGGAATATAAGGCCTTACTATTATACCCTATAACACCTTAAGGCCCTTTATGGGGTTGGTTTGGGGGGGATTATAAGGCCTTGTTGTCAGACCCTATAACACCTTAACAATGGCCTGTATGGGGTTGGTTAGGGGGATTCTAAGGCCTAATAGCCCATGCGATGGCGGTAACAAAGACTGCCCAAGGGACGGGGAGAGTCGGAGGAGGGGTGGGATTAGCGTTTAGGGTTCGGGCTTTGTTTAGGGTTTAGGGTTCAGGGTTCAGGGTCTAGGTTTATAGGGTTTGGGGTTTAGGGTTTGGGGGGGGGGGGGGGGGGTTTGCGATGATGCCCTGGATGCCCATGAGGTGCGACCAGTTCGGCACCAGCACAGGAACCAAATTTGACCCCACTCGGCCAGTGGCATTCAAATAAGGTTTTTAAGGGAGGGGGGTATGTAACCCAAGGTTCCCTAGTACTCCCCACTTCTCCCCAGTAAGGCTCCCCAAGCTTCCTAAGGTTCCCCAGGTACCTACCCCCCTTGAACCCCCTCTTCCGTAAGGACCCTGTAACGATGACATTACCGCGCGCCTGTATCTGCAGCACTTTATGTGCGGCTCGTGTGCCAGAATGCAGGTCGCGGGTAATGCAATGATCTCAAACATTTGGCCGTCTCGATTCTGCAAGTTCGGTTGCAGACCCAAACTTGAAACACTTCCTGTAGCAGATACCTGGTTTCAGTTTTCTGGCTTGTGCCTAAAGGCGAAATCCTTCCAAGTCCTGATGCAAATCAGCCATGATCTCGGAAAAAGTTGAACGTTGGACTAATTTGCGCCACTCTTTCCGCCCGAAGCCCTAAACCCCAAACCCTACCTGGACCCTTCCTTGTAGTATCCCTATTATGGTTCAGGGTTGAGGGTTCAGGGTCTCTGTTCGACAGCGCAAAAACAAAACACACACACACACATGTATATATATATATATATGCTAAACAAGGAAAGCAGAGGTAAGTAGAGGGATGAGGGGCACGTGAAGACCCTAAACCCTAAACCCTAAACCCAGTCGTATAGCTTGCCTTCGGGCTTGCCAGGCATAGAAGAGCTGCTTCACCAGTTTCGGTCGAAGCGAGATGGCCTCTGCACGCCGGACATGCGATGCAAGGGTTTGGAGTCTACTATACGAATTGCTGAAGAACCCCCCGCAAAAAAACAAGAAGCATTCTTCCTTATGAGGGGCACATGTAAATGATTCTCTTGCATGTTGTGTATTTGTTTGATTTTTTCTTGGGGCGGGGGGGGTACACATGTCCGAAACCCAAAAGCCTAAACCCTTGCATACCTCACAGGGCCAGGATCGGGAGTACAGGACAGGGGCCACTGCATCGAACGATCAAGGGAAACTGCCCCTAGAGTTGGAGTCTTGGGTTTAGGGGACCCTGTTGAAACATCCTCTAAGGTGACAGAGGGGCCATCTTAGGAGTAGATTGATGTTAATGGTCACATCAATAAACCGGGTAATACCACCGGAAATCTTTTCGGCCGGTATTTTGGCCCAAAAGTTTTCTTGTTTCATGAACGATGTCCATCATGTTAGGTTGTTTAGAGACTGGTGTGCCGCTGCCATTTTTCGGCGTGCGAGAAAAAAGTGTGTTCATGCCGGAAAGTATTCCGGATAATTTCCCAAATATGGCTTTGAGGGAACTCCTTCATATATATATATATATCTTTATATATATATATATGTATCAAGCTCTTTTCAATCGAGGCAGAGACAGACCCAGATGGCCCAGACGAGGCCCAGAGGAGGGCCCACCCGAAGAGGAGGCAGAGTGGAGGCCCCCAAGGTTTAACCCTAAACCCTAAACCCTAAACCCTAAAATTACCTGGCTTCCCCAAACTGTGTTCTAACCCAACAGCGGAACAAATTCTGGGGGGGGGTCATTAAAGCGAATGAGGCCAGGGGTGCAACCTCTGAAAAGCCCCCGCCCCATCCTCCCTAAACCCTAAACCCTAAACCTCAAAAACCCTAAGCCCTCAACCCTAAACCCTAAACCTCAAAAACCCTAAGCCCTAAGCCCTAAACCCTTCAGAGCCCCTAAGTGTGAGGAGCAACTCTGCGCGAGGTGCCTGCAAGGCTTCCACGAAGTAGCCGTTGTCCAAGGCGCCCTGGTAGATCCTCCCGCAGTGGGTCTTACCTCAGCTCCGGGATGGGCTACCCAGAGAGCCTACTAGGGTTTAGGGTTTAGGGTTTAGGGTGTAGGGCTACTATTTGCTTAAGAACCCCGAAAAAAACAAGATTTTTCAGTATTAAGGCTAATAGAGGGATTATTGTTTTTCATTCTTTTGGGGTTCTTAAGCAAATAGTAGGAGGCCCTGCAATCACCATCATCAACCCCCTTTATAGCCCTGGAGAATTTGAGGGAGATTCCTTTATTAAGGGGTGTGATGGGGGCTCTCTGGGCAAAGAGCCTCCCTACGGGGAGTTGCAGGGCACAAGGCGGCAGTTTGGTTGGCAAGTAACCAAAGCTCCAACATGCGAGATACCCTAAACCCTAAACCCTAAACCCTAAATCCTAAACCCTAAACCCTAAACCCTAAGCCCAAAACCCTAAAAAAAACCTTAAATGGCGGGCCATGGCTCTCGAAAACTCATCGAAGAGGTGCACGGCGTCGGCATGCTGGGCAAAGTCCACCAGCCTTTCGCCCCCAACCATGCGGTTAGGGGGGTTTAGGGTTTAGGGTTTAGGGTTTAGGGTTTAGGGTTTAGGGTTTAGGGTTTAGGGTTCAGGGCTTCGACTCTCACAGCTAGCGCACGCGCAGGCAAGGATCCAGGGTTCTCCAGTCCAAACACAGAATTTTAGCTGCTACTAGGGTTTAGGGTTTAGGGCTACTATTTGCTTAAGAACCCTCCCAAAAAAAAGGGGGTTACTTCGAACATCCCCACCCTCTCTGGGTAGAGATGCTCTGGGGTTGGGCACTCCAGGGACAGCTTGGGGTTGGGTTAGGCGCTCTGGGGTCGGGCACCCTGGGGTTGGGCGAGGAGTAGACCGGGCGAGGAGAAAGGGTTTAGGGTTTAGGGTTTAGGGTTTAGGGTTTAGGGTTTAGGGTTTAGGGTTTAGGGTTTAGAGTTGAGTTTAAAAAATCTAACAACCCCACCCTCGGGGTGGGGAATCAAAAAACATTCTTTCTCATAAGGACAATATAGGAATTAGCATTTTCTATTTTTTGGGGGGGGGGGGGGGGGTTCTTAAGCACATAGTTGTAAACCGTCCGATACCCAAAGAGCCCTTTATATCCCTCAATTAAGGAATAATACCTCAAATCACATTCCCCAAAGAGCCCAATATTGCTTAATTCAGGGAGATACCTAAAATCATATTCAGGATCCTTATATGATTTAAGGAATACTCCTTAGTTTTGCAATATCGGGCTCTTTGGCTAAGGATCCCTACTAACTTCAGGTGTATCCGGGAAAAAAGGGCTCAATGGCTTGGCCACCATTGGACCATGTCTGCCACCGTAGGTGAGGGGTTTAGCCCTTTTTCATAATAAGGATCATTATTGTGAAGTAGGGAATAGACCCTTTTCATAAGAAGGATCATTATTGGAAGATCTGGGGGTTTACAGGGCTTTGGCCGCCCGCCTAGAGGGGAGACAGGTTTTAGGGTTTCGGGGGCACTTCGGGGGTCCTGAAGTAGAAAGTTTCCCTAAGGGTCATGTCAGGATAGTACTTGGAGGTTCATGGGCAGTTACAAGCAGGGATATAAGCATGGTAACTATACTACCCTATTTAGGATAGTTTAACCCTACTTATAACTGCCCATATGAACCCCCAAACCCTAAACCCTAAACCCTAAACCCTAAACCCTAAACCCTAAACCCTAAACCTCCAAGTAGGGCCCTGTAGGCTGTTGGCAACCCAAGGACTGACTATATAGCTCCTGAGCTCCAGCATCTACAAGGTTGAGCATTTGATGGTCCACGCAAGTGGCTGGGATACTCTAAACCCTAAACCCTAAACCCCAAACCCTAAACCCTAAACCCTAAACCGAAAACCCTCTACGCCGCTGCGCAAAGCTCCATGGTTTCATGCGGATTGCAGTGGTCGCTGACCTCAACCACGTGCTTGACCCATGTCCATCGTGCGCAAAGTTGGGGACAGCTGTCCTTGGCTTGTGCCAGCATGTTTAGGGTTTAGGGTTTTCTAAAGTTTAGGGTTTAGGGTTTAGGGTTTAGGGTTTAGGGCTAGGCCTTATAATCCCCCTGACCAACCCCCAAAAACCGGCCTGTGAACGGGTTAGGGTTTATAGGGATTTAGGGATTTAGGGATTTCGGGATTTAGGGTTTAGGGTTTAGGGAGTCCTCCACTTGCAAAGGACAGCATTGACAGCAATGGGGCATGAAAATGCCCATATCTGGGAGTTTCGAGGAAAACTCAACCCGAATCACTGCTACAATCTTCGGGGGTAACCCTTCCAAGAAGTTTCCAACGCCTCGTCCACAAGTTTCCAAAGCCTCGGCCTCGTCACCGTAAACCCTAAACCCTAAACCCTGAACCCGTTTTTGAGGAGGGAATGCAGTGCGACCTGCCCAACCCTAAACGCTAAATCCCACATCCTAAATCCTAAACCCTAAATCATAAGACCATCTTGGCACCTCAAAACTGTAAGCAATATGCGATCATAGAGGCCCATTCGATCAACCCTACGGAAACCATAAAAGGCTATCCCCAAAACGTATCCCTAAACCCTAATCCCCTTTGAGCAACGGACTTTGAGGCCACTGGCACACATGCAACTTCTATCCCGAAACCCGAAACCCTGCACCGTAGTTTTGCTAGAAACCTTGTTAGGAGCTTGGGTCCCTATATTCCCTAGGCCCAAGAGGAACCTGGGAATAAAAGGGTGGCTTCAAGCGGCTTGTAACGGAACCTAAACTCCTACAAAAAGGGGATAGCGGCCTACTCTGGGTCCCTATCTTCCCTAACCCTAAACCCTAAACCCTAAACCCTAAACCCTAAACCCTAAACCCTAAACCCTAAATTAAGGGAACTAAGGGCCAACTCTGGGTTCGCGAGTTCCCTGAGAGGACCCTGGGCCGAAGCGGCGGCCGCAGCAGCGAGGTGTCTGGATCGTACTTGCCACACATGTAATACCTCGGCTTGGGGTTTATAGAATTCCTAGGGTTTAGGGTTTAGGGTTTAGGGTTTGGGGTTTAGGGTTTAGGGTTTAGGGTTGAGGGTTTAGGGTTTAGGGTTGAGGGTGTAGGGTTTAGGGTTTAGGGTTAGGGTTTAGGGTTCAGGGTTTAGGGTTCAGGGTTCAGGGTTCAGGGCTTAGGGTTTAGGGGTTAGGGTTTAGGGTTAGGGCTTAGGGTTTAGGGTTCAGGGTTCAGGGTTCAGGGTTCAGGGTTTAGGGTTTAGGGTTTAGGGTAAACCCCGTTCGTTAAGGACTGTACCCTAACTCATAGTAATGATCCTTAGTACAAATTAAGGGTATATTCCTTAGTTAACCCGAAGAGCCCAAGGAATATTCGTTAAATCATATAAGGATCCTTAATATGATTTAAGGTATATTCCTTAATATGATTTAAGGTATATTCCTTGATTAAGCAATATTGGGCTCTTTGGGAACATCATGGCTTTAAGGGGCTTTGGAAGATCTGGGTTGGTATGCCCGACCATGCGGTGAGGGCGACCAAGTACTCTCTTTCAACGTGGCGGAGAAAGGTCTTGGTCAGCTGCAAATCAGCCATTTAGCAAAGGGTTTAGGGTTTAGGGCTTAGGGCTTAGGGAACGTGTGCTCGCTTAAAAACGCCCAGCCTAGAGAGAACCGGATGTTATGTTAAAGCAATGTTTGATAGCAAGATCTCCGACTCAGGTAGACTGGCTGCTGAAACCCCAAAGCCTCCGGGCCCGAAACGGTTTAGGGTTTAGGGTTTAGGGATTAGGGTTTAGGGTTTAGGGTATCGGGCCCCTCAGAAGGGGGATCGAACTAATATAGGCGCCTGAAACAAGTAGACTAGTTTTTTTGGTGTGGGAGGGGGGACTATAGTGTTATAAAGAGGCCATAAGGGAATACTATATAGTAACTATTCCGACCCCTGGATTCATGTCCCACTTGGTAGGTGAGTTTCAGAACCTGAGCTTCTACAAGAAGCCGGCACACGAAGGGTTGTTTAGGGGCTCTGAAGGTAGCTCTATAAGAAACTACCCAGCAACACTGCTAAGGAAAGCATACAACATCCGAAGGCCTTACTTGGAACTCAAACCCTAAACCCTAAATCAACGGTTTAGGGTTCAGGGTTCAGGGTTTAGGGTTTAGTTCGAAGTATCCAAAATAGGGCTCTAAGTACAGTGACCATACTTATACCCTACAAGTACCTAGCCTGCAGACCGAGCCCCGCGCTGCTGATCGTTGGGTGGGAAAGGGACGAGGGCCTGGAGTGCGCGACTCGCTTGTCTGGGTTGGCCTTTAAACCCTCTGAAAAATATTTATATGTAGGCTCCCTTATTAAACCCACATAAGGGAAACGAAGCATATCCCCAAAACCAACCTAGTCGGAGAGCTTCCGGGCTGTAGGGTCAGTTGAGGGTTTAGGGTTCAGAGGCTTGGGGTTTGTGGGGTTTAGGGTTTAGGGTTTAGGGTTTAGGGTCTAGGGTTTAGGGTTTAGGGTTTAGGGTCTAGGGTTTAGGGTTTAGGGTTTGGGGGTTCCGGGTTTAGGGCTCTAGATGCTTTGATCTTAGGGTTTAGGGTTTAGGGTTTAGGGTTGCGCCATCTGCCTAGCTGACTGTCGTCAGTACGCAGAGACAAAACCGAGGGTTCTGGGGTTGAAAGGATTTTGTTTGAGGGATTAGGGTTTTCTACCCCACTCGCAGGAGGGCACAAGCCACCGGCGAAGACCCCAAAACCCTAAACCCTAAACCCTAAAAACCCTATGCCCTAAAAACCTTAAACCCTAAACACCCTAAAACCACGGCAGATGGCGGACAAGACTTCTCAAGATCGCTTTGGAACCGGTTTCAGACAATGACACGATGTCAAGTTGGCCTCTGTTCTACAAACCTTCATAACAGGGTTTAGGGTTTAGGGTTTAGGGTTTAGGGTTTAGGGTTTAGGGTTTAGGGTTTTTGGTTTAGGGTTTAGGGAATACTTCGACTTGGGCCTTAAAGTACTTGCTATATAGTTTAGGGAGTACTTAGACTTGGGCCTTAAGGTACTTGCTATATACGGACTTTGGGGCCCAAGTATAGAACAATTCGGTACTTTGGACCCTTTGGTCTTAATAACCCCCATATATACCCAGATCTTCCAAAACCCCTTAACTAAGGAACATACCCTAATTTATACTAAGGATCATAAGTATTATTTAGGGTATATTCCTTAGTTACCCTAATTTATACTAAGGATCATAAGTATTATTTAGGGTATATTCCTTAGTTAAGGGGGTACCCAAAGAGCCCAATATTGCTTAATTAAGGAATATTCCTGAATATTCCTTAAATCATATAGGGATCCTTCATATGAGCTAAGGAATATTCCTTAATTAAGCAAGATTGGGCTCTTTGGGTACATTACATAGTCCCTGTATACGCAGGCTTCTAAAGGGAGGGGGGGGGGGTTCATGGGGGGTAGGTAACCTCAGGGAAGCTCAGGGAGCCTTAAGGAGTGGTGGTTACGTACCCTAAACCCTAAACCCTAAACCCTAAACCCTAAACCCCTTAAGAACCCTATAACCTGAATAAGAGTGAGTGAGGTGACAGCCCAGGTGGTAAGAAAGACACCAATGAAGAGACTCATTAAAACCCTTTCGCATATATAAAAACAAAAATTCGATTGATGGTGTCAAAGGTCCTAAAGTTAGGCAACTAGTATTCTTGTCAAAACCCTAAACCCTAAACCCTAGACCCTAAACCCTGAACCCTGAACCCTAAACCCTAATCTTCTTCTGTCCCGGGCTCTTACTGAACATAATATTTGCGAGCCCCTGAAAAAGACCTATTAAAAATTGTAAGAGAATTCTGGAAATTAATATCTTATGAACAGGCCATTAGAAGAATGCTATAGGCCCTGATTCATATAGTCATCTACGCTATTACCCAAAGTTAAGAGATGAAAGGGAAAGGAATTCAGTACTAAAAGACAAAGTAAGAAGTAATAAACGAAGATAATACGGTAAAAGAGGGCGTGGATAATATGAAACCGTTACAATAATATCGTCTCGCGGGGAAAACATGAAATCCGCGAGTGAACGCAACAAATTCTTTTGCTACAGCTATCTAATTACTCTATTCATACAAGGAGATGCTATTATAATCATATGGATGTAGCAATCCTTGGTAACATGCTGTCACTGATTCCATGCGTTCGACGATTGAATTCCAAGAATGATTTCATTTAAAATTTAAAATTGCTCACTTCGTTCTTCGTATTTGGAAAGGTATGACTGAACCGCCAAGCAACCCGTACAAAAGCACTGTCCCAACATGAATTTATTACGCATAAAACAATAATTCCTTGAGCTTTTCACTATATTCAATCGAGTATAAGGAAGCTCGCAATGTTCTTAAGTTCGTTTGTCTTAGAACTTTTTCATAAGTACGCTCACTTGTTCCTTACAACTGCGTAAATTGTGCGCGCTCGTTTCTTATCTTTGCAATGCGCTATACTTATATCCCTAAACCCTAAACCCTAAACCCTAAACCCTAAACCCCAAGCCCTAACTTATTATGAACCCTAAACCCTAAACCCTAACTTATGAACCCGCGGTCGCCGGATTGAAGTTCCTGAACAAGAGCTCAACCAAACCCAACCGAACCCCGACATGACCTCCCAAGGAGCCCCAAAATCTTTAAAATCGTATTACGGAACCCTAAACCCTAAACCCTGAACCCTGAACCCTAAACCCTAAACCCTAAACCCTAAACCCTAAACCCTAAACCCTTAAAATAAGGAAGTTAAATCGTCTTAAGGAACCCTATATGATTTAAGGAATGTTCCTTAATCAAGGGGTATTGGGCTCTCTAGGGTCTGTTCTGCTGAGGTGCATTCGACAAGACGGTGCCAGTGAGGCCGAGATCGGGGAATTCGTGCGGGCCTGGGCCGTTGGCGCAAGGAACACATATTCTGGTTGTCGGGGTTCTCTTGCCCTAAACCCTAAACCCTAAACCCTAAACCCTAAACCCCAAACTCTGGGCTCAGAGCTCGGGCATAGCAAGGCAGGTCACCTTAAGTCAAGTAAACTCACTCAACAGCACAGCGCAAACCCCACCCAAAGAGCCCAATATTGCTTAATTAAGGAATAATCTGGTTTAGGGTTTAGGGTTTAGGGTTTAGGGTTTAGGGTTTAGGGTTTAGGGTTTAGGGTTTCCTTGAATCATATAGGGATCCTTAATATGATTTAAGGTATCGTCCTTAGTTAAGGGCTATTGGGCTCCTGGGCAGATCTTCCCAAACCCCTTAACCAGGGAATAGACCCTAAGTCACAATCATGATCCTTGGCACTTTTAATTAGGGTATCTTAGGGAATATTGTAATTATACCCAAATTCATAACAAAGATATTCTTGAATTAAGAGGTTTTTTGAAGATCTGGGGAGCTCCACCCAACGCACAAGCCATTTCCGCCTCTGACGCATCAGCTTCACAATGTCACGACCATTGAAACGGCGACCGGCAGACTACGGTGCATTTGCAGAATAGCAGACACAAACGCTTCCACAAGTATCCTCTTTGGGCTCGCGTATAGGCTTCCGCATGTTCAGGGTTTGTGACCTGAGATGGGTTCAAAAACAGTGTCCTGAGCGACGGTCGCAATAGGGAGATGTTCGAGAGATGTGATACTGATGCTGCGGACTCTGAATTAGCACAAAATGTGCACTGGCCATGCAGCCAGAAAAGTGGCAGATTGCCCAAAGAACATCATTCTATAGCATCTGCGACAGCATTCACTGGTTAAAATGACGTATATACACTGGCGCCAGATCTGAAGCAGTGGCCCCGTCAGCCATCAGCACCCTAAACCCCGAGCTCAAAAGGGCACCTCACACCCCCTAACGTACAGTGTCCTTAAAGGAGGGGGGTTCATGGGGGGGGGGGGGGGGGGGTAGGTACCTAGGGAACCTTAGGGAAGCTCAGGGAGCCTTAGGGAACCTTGGGTTACATACCCCCCCCCCCCTGAACCCCCTCCCTTCAGAACCTCATAATAATGCCACAGGCACCGTACACCTTAAAGCCTCAATCCTAAATTCTGAACCCTAAACCCTACAATATACCGTTGCAAAGCACGAGGGTAGGGCAGGGCCAGCCTGTTGATTTCAAAGTGCGGCGACGATGCAGGCTGTACATTTCCCCAATGGCAGTATGGGAGTTCATCGCCACCTGTGCCAGACTTGTGCAGGTCTGTGTTACCTAGAAATTAGATTATTGTCTACATCAAAGACTGTTATCGCACGCTCTGTTGGGCGTGGCACACAGTTGTTGCGTACCAGGGCACCGCTGTCCAATTGAATTCGACTAGTAAACCCTAAACCCTAAACCCTAAACCCTAAACCCTAAACCCTAAACCCTAAACCCATATCCTCCGGTTCTTGGGGCGCATGGCTTGGACCCGAGGCGAGGACAAGATTTGATCCTCGTCTCCAAGCCTGTTGCTCCCGAGCTTTCTACTATTTGCTTAAGAACCCCAAAAGATCAAAAACTAATCATCCCTATATTACCCTAGGATAAGGAAGAATATTTCTGCATATTTTTCGGGGTTCTTCACTAAGCAATGAGAGGCTGGTTCTCTCCGTGCATGTCCGTTCTCAAGCATCGCCTGAACGCTGTTTCGCCAAGCGCCTCGCCCTTTCCTTGTTCATTGTTGGGTTCATATTAAAAATCTTTAGATCTATAATTCCTTATTGGGGTTTAAGTACCCTTAAAGATGTAAAATGTTACCCATCTATGACAAAGCTTCAAGTTTTCCTTATTGGGTTTAAGTACCCTTAAAATGTAAAATGCTACCCAACTATGAGACAAAGTTTCAAGTGCCACGGCTCCCGTGCGCATCGCTGACTGGATTGCCATCACTGTCGCATCGCACCTGAGAAGCGTCACCTCCTCGGCTGTCCCCAGTAACTAGGGCCCCAAAAAGCACAGAAGCAAAAACAGGGTTTAGGGTTTAGAGTTTAGGGTATAAACCCCCCTTATAATGAAGCCCAAGAAGGTAGGAATATCCCTATAAGATGCTTATGCTTATGTCCTTTTTGGGTCCCTGACAGTAACCTAGGCTTAAAAAGGGTGCCCCTTTTTTTGCTGAAAGGGGGTTTACTAAGGGAACCTATAAACCCCCCCCAAAAAAAGGGGAAAAAAGGGTACACTCTGGGCAGCCTAGCCTCATCATCCTCCCCAAGGGCCACACCTAAGATCTCATTCGCGGAGAGCGGGCGGTCGTGGCACATGAGATGCTGCTCACGTACCGGAATCCCAGCAGACTTGGCAATGGCTTTCTGGGCCTTGGCAACCGGTGCCGCCATGTCCACGGAGATGGTGCAAAGGAGTCCGCTAAGACCTTAAGTTGCTGGGCTCATAAGCCGCCCCCCAAAAGAAGTGTACACTTTCAGTTCTATAGGGGATTGTAGTATCCCCAAATAGTGTAAAACCCTAAACCCTAAACCCTAAACCCTAAACCCTAAACCCTAAACCCTAAACCCTAAACCCTAAAGTCTACTCACTCAGCTAGACAAAGAGGCCCAGGATGCGCAAGGATCCCTGCATCGGCGGCTCTGGCTCCTGTTCTCGGCTCGGAGGTTTCACATAAGCTCGTTTGGCTTTGCGCGTCGTCTGGCATCGAGCCTCCACCGCCGCTGCCATGAGGGAGGGAGGGAGGGGGGTGAGTGAGTGAACAAGAAAGGGCTTGAGTGCCTTGAGAACCTTGTGCCAAAGGCTGCAGGGATGCATTTGGCCAGTTAGGGTTTTTTGGGTTGGGATGTGTCCCCTCATACCAGCAGTCCTGCGACGGGATAATAATAGGGGTGTAAAATACTATAATTAGTCCACATGAAGGACTGTAAGTGTAAGGGGGAGCATCCCAAGCATAGGGTCTAGGGGTTGGGGCTGGGAAGGAAAATTCAGTCTGCAGACACTGAAAAAGGGTTCTGGGTGTAAAATACTATAATTAGTCCACATGAAGGACTGTAAGTGTAAGGGGGAGCATCCCAAGCATAGGGTCTAGGGGTTGGGGCTGGGAAGGAAAATTCAGTCTGCAGACACTGAAAAAGGGTTCTGGCAAGCCACGCAAAGAGATCCAGAAGCACGAACCAACGACCCTAAACCCTAAACCCCCTAAACCCTAAACCTCCAAGCCATCGCATTGTTGCAGAGGAGCTGTTGGTCCAACGTCCATCGCGGCAAAGACCGACGCCCTGAGTATTCTGCGGCCCTTCTGTGGGGTTTCGGAGTAGCAGCCGGACGGGCTTCAAATTTCTGGCGGAAACGTTGTACCTACAGGACAGCGGTCAGCGTACGACACAAGTGAGAGCCTTCCAAGTCACCCCATACCCTAAACTCATGCAGGTGGGTGGTCTCAAAGAATACTTCTAGTCCGAGAATGCTCACCAACCAGGACACCGACATACAGATATATGTATATATGTATATGTGTATATCTGGGTATAAAATGATGAAATAAAAAATCAATTAATATACATATATACATATACAGATACACGCACATCTCTCTCTTTGTGAAGGGTAATCAGGCACTCCTGCCACCCTCCTAACTTTGCAGTTCTTGCCTGGCGCTGACGCACGGCATCGCAGATGCTGACGATGTGCATCTGCAGGGAAGTGCACAGGGCCGCAAGAAACCCTTCAGTTGCGTGATACGCCCGGAGAACGCACTACCCCCATGACGTACCCCTTCATTTAGGAATCTTCCTCAAAGTATATCAGCCTCCTTACAAGTTACAGAAACACGACATTTCCTAAAACCTAAACCGTAAACCCTAGACTTATGAAGTAGGTCCCTAAACCCTAAACCCTAAACCCTAAACCCTCAGCGCCAATGCACACCGGGGCCTTGGCCAGCTCCTCCTGAGGATACGCAGGAAGTCTCGACCCCATGATTCCCATCATCCCCACACATCACTTGCAAGGCTTTAGGGTTTAGGGTTTTAGGGTTTTAGGGTTTTCAGGGTTTTCGGGTTTTAGGGTTTTCGGGTTTTCGGGTTTTAGGGTTGGGATGTTCCCCCTTATACTAACTAAGGGCCCTTAACAGGGTATATAATGGGGGGATACGAGAATCCCTATTAAGGACTTTTAGTAGAAGGGGAACATCCCAAATTTAGTATGAATTAGGGTAGATTCCCTAAAGGGGGTGTTGGGGTTTTGGAAGATCCGGGTGAAACCATATCAGAATCAGGGTCCTTTTTTTGGCTGGTTAGGGTTTAGGGTTTAGGGTTTAGGGTTTAGGGTTTAGGGTTTAGGGTTTAGGGTTTAGGGTTTAGGGTTTAGGGTTTAGGGGGGTTCTTATGAAAATAGTCCTCGCATACTACACTGGCAAGCAAGACTTACAAATCAGGAGCTTCGTCTGGCGCCCTAACCTCCCTAAACCCTAAACCCTAAACCCTAAACCCTAAATAAACCCTAAACTCCATTCTTGGAGCTTCATGGGTGCTTGTAAGTAGGGTTAAGGGTTTAGGGTTTAGGGTTTAGGGTTTAGGGTTTAGGGTTTAGGGTTTAGTAAGTATGGTAACTATACTTGTTCTCCTACTTGGGGGGTACTTCTAGCCCTACTTCTCTAAGTACCCAGTCGAAGTGCCCATGTCATGAACCTCCAAGTCATCTACCCAAAGAGCCCCAAAACCCCCAAATTGAGGACACTTCCTCAAAATCACATAGGGTCCCTTACTGTGATTTAAGACATATTTCTTGAGCAAGATTCGGCACTTTGGGTAGACCCCTCAACCACCCTAAACCCTAAACCCTAAACCCTAAACCCCACCCGCATTGGTTTCAAGATGTCTGGTACGTCCTGCTCGTAGCGATTGCTTTCTGCATGGAACCAGCCCTGGTCGTGCAGCTCGACCTGCAACGGCCATGTTAAGGTTTAGGGTTTAGGGTTTAGGGTTTAGGGTTTAGGGTTTAGGGTTTAGGGTTAGGGCTTAGGGCTTAGGGCTTAGGGTTTAGGGTTTAGGATGCCAGCTACGTCTTGCATTTGTTTCCGGGGTTGTCGGGTCTCATGCGGCATCGGCAAGAATGATGCAATCGACTTCCCTCGTCGGTTGTGTCCCCACGTGCTAGCCACCCATCAAGCCAAGGACATCTGCCCTGTGCCAGGCCTTTTGATGGGCTTCCTCTACGGGCTTCAAGCGGCCCTCCTGACAAAATGTGTCACAGCACGCGCTCGTGCTGGTCATGGAGTGAGTGAGAGTAAGCGAGATTGACTGAGAGTGAGTGAGAGTGAGTGACGGTGAATGTTTGTAGGCGTGTGCGTGCACGGGGCGGTTGGGCGAAAGCGTGCGTGCGTGCGTGCGTGCGTGTGTGCGCGCGCGCGCGTCCGTGCACTGAGCATGCCAGCCCATGTGCTGGGCACCTTGGGTCCTTCGGCTGCTATGCATACCTCCGGCATTCCACCCGGCAAGACTCGGTACATAATGAATATGAAAAAAGAATGAATATTATTACAGGGTTCGCACCTGCTTTGAGCATTGGGACATCGTTGCGAAGCTTCGAAACTGCCATGAGCCAAGTTATACTGCATCCAGCGTTCAAACTCCCGGATCTTCGAAAACCCCGAATTATAATAGGGAATATACCCTAATTCCCACTAAGGATCATGATTATGAATTAGGGTATACTCCTTAGTTTAGGGGTTTTGGGAGAGCTGGGAAGTTCCGAGGGCCCCCAAGTCCTCATCTTCTTCCACGGTGGTCCCTTCCTGCGCAGTCACGGATGACAGCGACCGATTCGTGGCAGACTGCTTGGAGGTTCATGGGCAGCAATGAGTGAAGGTATGGTAACTATACTTATGGCCCTATTCTAGGGTACTTGTATCCCTACTTATTATAGCTACCCACGAGCCTCCAAGTGCGCAAACGCCCTTGAAACATCCCAAGGTTCCCACGTACGAGCCGAGTGCCCGGGGGGAGAGCTGGAAACCCCAAACCCCAAACCCCAAACCCCAAACCCTAAACCCTAAACTCTGTCCACAATCCTACTCTGAGGTTCATCCCGGAGACTCCCATACCCCTTAATTCAGCAATATTCCTTGAAGTCTATGAAGGTTCCTTATATGGCTTGAGGAATATTCGTTGATAATTAAAGGGTATGGGAGTCTCTGGGATGGGCGGTAATAAGTCTGCCAACTCTACTTATGAGCCTTTTTGAGGGTACTTGCCAGCATGGCTACTGGACCTTGTCATCTTGTCATCCCCCTAACCAACCCTATAAAAGGGCCTTCAGGGTATAATAGCACTTGGGGGGCATAGAACCCTACTTATAGCTACCCATGAAGCTTCCAAGTATGCCGCCTTCAGTGGCATCCCATCTGGCCCGAATTGAGTCGGCTCGTCAGTGTGGGTGTCCCCCTGAAACCTGCAGTTTAGGGTTTAGGGTTTAGGGTTTAGGGTTTAGGGTTTAGGGTTTAGGTCCCATGCGACAGGCATACAGAGCTCGATGCCCCCCTGTAAGTAAAGGAATAGACCTTGAAGTTATAGAGGGATCCATGATGTGATTTGAGGTACTAAGGAAGAGACTTTCAATTGTATTCTGGGATCCTTCATATCATGTAGGTATACTCCTGAATTGAGGCATCTTAAGGGCTCTTTTGGGGGGGGGGGGGGGGGGGGGGGGGGGGGGGGGGGGGGAGGGGAGGGGGTGGGGGGAAGAAGAAGCCTGGAAAGCCTGGAGATATCCGTAAAGATAAAGGCCCTGCGTCCTAAAGCCGACACTCAGAGCCACGGTTTAGGGTTTAGGGTTTAGGGTCCAGGGTTTAGGGTTGCAGGCAGGCTCACAAGTGATGTCATCCATGGCAATGGCCCTTGCAAAGAAGCAGCAAGACCCCTGAAACCCCATAAGCCCTATAAACCCTATAAACCCTGTAAGCCCTATAAACCCCATAAACCCTATAACCCTCTAAACCCTGTAAACCCTATAAACCCTATAAACCCTAAACCAAACCTTACACCGCTCAGGCCCATGGCAACATCACCGGAGACCCTATACACCCTAAACCCTAAACCCTAAACCCTAAACCCCTACACTGGAGACCCGAATCGCCACCGCGACACGGCTGCGGTGCGGCTGGCCTCGGGCCAGCTGGGTGCAGGTCCCCTACGAGCAAGCACTGTTCTTAAAGGAGCCGGCACAAAATAAAGCAGAAACATATCTATCTATCTGTCTATCTATTTATCTAGAGTATATATGTATATATTTAGATATGCATGTATATCCCTCAGAATCACGATAGGCAGTATTGCCTATACAAACAAATTCAAACTACCCAAGATGCCAGTCGAATTGAAATGGCCGCTATGTTCCCCCCCCCCCGGACAATGCTCGTGCGGCGCTGCGGCGCCTCGAAACTCACCCTAAACCCTAAACCCTAAACCCTAAGCCCTAAACCCTAAACCTGGATTTGGGGACCCAGGTGCGGATCATCTCGGTCTGTCGCAGGGAATGCTTTCCGATCCACCACCTGAGGTCGGCTTTTGCGTGTTTCAGGGTGTATAGGGTTTAATTAGGGTTTAGGGCTTAGGGCTACTTTAAGTAGCTATGCGACCCGGAGCCCGGAAGTCTAACAGAACCCCAAACCGCACCAGGCTCAAGTGAGGCCTCTGCCGGTGTTTTAATCAAACACATTGGGCTTGTTCCGCCTGAGGTCCCTACCACACGGAGGCGACCCAATTAAGGAATACGACTATTTGCTTCAGAACCTCCAAGAAAAGAACACATAAATACCTCCCTTATTACCCTTCTAGTAAAAAAGTAAAAAACATATTTGGGGGGGGGGGGGGTTCTTAAGCAAACAGTAGAATATACCCTGAATTCTACTAAGGATCAGAACAGGGTGCATTCCGATTAAGGGGTTTGGAAGATCTGGGTCGTAGGGTAACCCGCTGCGCAAGCAATAACTTGCAGTAGGGGCGAGGGCTTCACAAACCTCCCGAGTCTTGACCCTAAACCCTAAATTCCCTAAAAAAACAAAAAAACCCCTGCACCCGAAGCCCTAAACCCCTAAAACCCCCAACAAAACCCACAAAATATAAAATCCCGAAACCCTAAACCCTAAAACGCTAAAAGCCCAAACCCCTTTTACATCCAGGCCTCGTGACGATTGCCGGGCAAGCCGAAAACCCAAAAAACCCTAAACCCCCAAACCCCCAAACATCCAAACCCCCAAACCCTACTAAACCCCTAACCCCTAAACAAAAACCCTAAACCCTAAACCTAAACCCTAAACCCTAAACCCTAAACCCTAAACCCTAACCCTAAACCAAACCCTAAACCCTAAACCCTACCTTGGTCTCCCCAAGCATGTCCACGGAGTCATCGAAGCCGGGTTGGGACTTGATCGAGTCCTTGAGACGGCCTCCTGGTAAGGGTTTAGGGTTTAGGGTTTAGGGTTTTAGGGTTTAGGGTTTAGGGTTTAGGGTTTAGGTTTAGGGTTTCAGGGTTTAGGGGGGTAGGGTTTAGGGATGAATTCCCTCCTGTTTAGGGTTAGGATCTGGGGTGTAGGGTTGAATTAGTAGTTAGGTTTAGGTTTGTGGTGTAGGTTTGTAGTGCTGGGGTCCGCTATTCCCTGCGAAACGGGCTTATGCCGCAGCTTCCAAGTATCAGAAATAGGCTCGGGCAGGGGTAGCTCACATTACCCCAAACCCTAAACCTAAGCCCTAAACCCTAAGCCCAAGCCCAAACCCTAAACCCCTTTTTAAGACTGGAACTGAGGCCAGCGCAGCAACCCTAAATCCTAAACCCTAACTAGCCGGGCTAAGGTCGAGGTGCCTTGGCAACGCTTAGGGGCTTCACGCGCGGGTTTCAAACAGGTTGCAGCCTCTCTGCTCTCTATTTGTGTAAAAAAACACGTGCGCAAACACACACATGACATATCCTGATATTCTACACAATTACACATACATACAGCACATGTTACCTACATGCCGCCTACATGTATACATCATGCATGCAAAAGCTATTCTGCAGTTCAGGCCTCTCTCTCCCTCCCCTGAACGATATGAACAGATACACATTGTGAATGTCCTGTATGCAATGTAGTGTAATGCATGCTGCGCCATGTAGTGTAACTGCACCCGTGCGCATTACACTGTGCTGTGCTGTTGTTATCTGCATTGCAATGCATTGCATTCTGTTTGTATTCCAGTGTAATGCTATTTGTATTCTTGTAGTGTACAGTATCGCATTGGTAGCTTTCCTGTAAGCGTCTAGGACCCCTTTCGAGCACTGCAGGTGAAGGCCCGATGCACCCAGCCTGGTCGCTGATACTTCCGGGTCTCGCTGAGCAAATCCTGAGATTCAGGGCTTACGGCTAGGATGCCCTAAAACCCTCAAAAAGTCCTTCTGCAGATCATCATCTTCGACCCAATAAGGGGGCCATAGAAAATTCTCAAGGAAATACTGGGAGAGGAAACGTGGGAATAATCCCTAAACTCCATGAACCGAATGCGTGTTACCCGTAGTCTCTAAATTAGGGCCCCCTGTTGGGTACACCCAATCCCTAAGTCCTAAACCCTAATCCCTTTAAACCCTTTTTGAATCCGGACTTGCTAACTGCCAGACGAGCCAGACCTACAAACACATTATTAAACCCTAAACCCTAAACCCTAAACCCTAAATCCTAAACCCCTTTGGTTGCAGAGATTTCTGCTTGTTTGGGGGCTCAGGTGCACTCGGCTGGCGAGGCTAAGGTTGGATTCGGGTCTCGGATTCGGCTGCATAAGTTATAAAAAAATCAGATGATGAGAATCTACTAATAGTAAAATTGTACTGATAATAAGATTGTTAGCAATACAATTAATAAGAATGATAATGATAGCATATATATATATATTTATATGTGTATATATATATATGTGTGTATATATATACACACATATACACCTACAATTTAGGGCAGCTAGGAGTTGTTTAAGGAGGTGGCAACTGCTGGAAACGAAAAAGGAACCGAATGGACCTCGCAGTCTTTAGCCAGGTCTAGGGTGTAGGGTTTAGGGTTTAGGGTTCAGGGTAGGTAAGTTGTGCCCAGCATCCTTGGGATAGCCTGCGTCTGCCACGGACATTTGCGGTGCAGTTTTCTGCCGCGGTATGCGCCTGCCAAACTCCGAGCATTGGGGACCCCACACGTAAGGACTGCATCAAATTCCCGAAGAACGGCGTCTGCGCAGCGTGACTTCGTGGCCTTCACCACAGCAGCGTCGTTTGTCCTGTCGCACATGAAGGTGAATGAGGCAGGGATGGGACCCTAAACCCTAAACCCTAAACCCCAAACCCTAAACCCCAAACCCTACCTCAACTTCCCGGCAGAAGAATCGCTCCTGAGGGAAGCTGCGGCTGCAGCAGCAGCTGCACAAACTTTGTTGGAGCGTGGATGGGTGGGAAGCAGTCTACACTATCAAATTGGCACGAAGTTTAAAGTCTTGAGCCAGCAATTGAAGTCGAGGCCATGCGAAAAAAACTCCGCATACTTGGAGGTTTTTATGGTACTTTTTGACCAACTACAACGGTACTTGGATAAACTGTACATGTACATGTAACCATATTAGGGCACTTAAGGGGCTTATAAGTGGGCTAGAAGTAGAGAGTGGGCTAGAATCCCCAGAATCAACCCTTGTAAGGGGTTATAGGGTATACTAGCCCATCCTGGTACTCGCGTGAAATCGCTTGGCTGGGTACGCTGCCGCTGTGGACTGACCTCTGCTAGGCGCTCTTTGCGTGGTAATACCGCAAATCCTTCCGGAACCTTCTGGAACCAGCCACGCACCTGCTCACCACCTACATAGGCACGAAGATCTTGACGACCACATAGAAACTGCATACCCGCCCTTTAGTCTTGAATGGCGCCAGCGCATGTATAGCCAAGTAAACGAGGGATATCTATCAACGTCCACGACGTCCTACCTGGAAAACCAACTGCCGAGAAACTTTCAAGTAGGCTTCTTCTTGCACTCGGCGTAAAGAAACGCAGGAAACCCAGCATGACAGCAGAACTTAGACTCTTTTTTGCCCTAAACAGTACACACCCTAAACCCCAAATTCTAAACCCTAAACCCTAAACCCTAAACCCTACACCCTAAACCCTAAACCCTAAACCCTAAACCCCTCAATCAAAGGTAGACCTGAGGATGCCACTCCTACTGCAAAGCCGAGTCTCGGGCGTCAGGTCTCAGACTGAGGCCTCCCTGTCCAGGGCCTCCCAGAGGTTTAGGGTTTAGGGTTTAGGGTTTAGGGTTTAGGGTTTAGGGTTTAGGGTTTAGGGTTTAAGGCTTAAGGTTTAGGGTTTAGGGTTTTGGTTTAGGGAAAACAAGGATGTCTCGCTCCTGATGCTCGTCATCCTCCCAAAGTTCTTGGCTTGGGACTGCTAGGTCTAGGCGCGCGCGCGCCCACAAAAAACACCCCCAACAGACTCCGGAAGAAAAACACAAGGACCCCATGAAGAATAATGTGGCAGGCGCAGCGAGTTTGGCATGTTGCGAGCAAACCCCAGCACGCGCTGCAAGATCGCGAGCAAGCCCCAGCACGCGCTGCAAGAAGAAAACTGGTCACGATTTCGTGACCAGTTTTTCGGACCAACTACGTTTCAAAGTGCCATCTAAGAACTGTTCTTGTCTCAAAATTATGAGACCAAAGTGGTCCTGTAGACCCCTAAACCCCAAACCTTAAGCCCCAACCCCAAACCCTAAAACGTAAACGTAACCCCAAATCTTAAACACTAAACTTTGGCGCGCAGCGCTGAACAAAACACTCCCCCAAAACAAATCGTGTCAGAGAACGGGGTCTTGGGAATGCAGGAAAGCGTGGCAGGCGCAGCGAAATCGTGTCTTTTGGACCAACCCCAGCGGTCGCATCCAGGAAGCAAACTGGCAACATGGACGTACTCATCGTGCCGGCATGGATGCGCTGGCCATTCCCACGCACTGGCAACATGGACGTACTCATCGTGCGGGCATGGATGCTCTGGCCCTTCGCACGCACTGGTAACAAGCAGGGTGTTTTATTTTGGGTGCGCAAGCCTAGGTCTAGGGCAGGGCCGAGTGCAAGTCCACGAGTCTCAGCGCAGAGCCAGGAAACCCTAAAGCCTAAACCCTAAAGCCCAAACCCTAAACCCTAAACCCTATAATCTGAAAGGTACGTGCCGCAAAAAGATCTACCACCGCGCGTCAGCCCTTCACCCTGAGCTCGTGACTTCAATCCTCCACCTTGGCACTGGATATTTTTCCAGACAACCATAAAACCCTAAACCCTAAACCCTAAACCCCAGTGTCCTGTGCAAGAACCTTCTTTTGTCTTCTGAGCCCGCGCCCAAGCTCACGATCCGAGCCCAGGCGGTTCAAGCCCTCTCTCCCGACAGAGCATCTTTCGTTTCGACCAACAACGCATTATTACTATTATTATTATGACTATTCCTGGAGCGTCGTTTGTAGCACAAATTTGTGCTCGAGGGCTGGTTGCCACGCTTTTTGGTGTTTGAGCGTTAATGATGGCTAAGCCGTGCGCTTTTGAAATAATACGTGCGCTTCTTGTAAAGATCGTGCGCTTCTGGGTGCAAGAAGGCTGCTGCATCAGCCATTTGGGCTTTGCATCAACCCCTATGCATGTTTCACTTCCATAATACTTCCATATGCACTCCGTATGCCGTCCTCTGGACTTGCGCTGATTGGAGCAGTGCGCCACCCCCGAACACGCAAGTGACAGTCATGAGAACATGAGGTTGCGCTTTCGGATTTTTTAATTTTGGGTTTTGCCAGGGAGGGGGGGGGGGGGCAGGGCAGGCCGATAAATCAACTGCAGGCCGTGAGATGTATGCGTTATGTGCATAGGTGTAGGTTTGTGCACGCAGTGGGCGACAGCGATCGCCGGAATGAGCTGGATATACCTCAGCTGTGCAGAGGTACTCTTCTGGGCCATCCTGGACTGGTCTCCGGCTTCCTACGACGAGTCAGACTGGCAAGTTTACAGCACAGGTCTCTGCAGTGTTTACAGCACAGGGCTCTGCAGTCGATCTAGTGGCACATGTGAACATTGCGCGCATTGTCCAACTAGATCTACAGCTGGCTCTTGCAATTGTGCATGGATGATGTCGAGGGGTATTTTGAAAGACACTCCCAATTCGTAGCATTCTACACAGCTTTCTAGGCATGATATAAACTCTTGTCACCGCTAGTGTGTACCGTATAGGATCCCGAGGCTTTCTTCCGGCACTTTACTATTCCGTTGCTATTGGTGGCCTTTGATCTAGCAGCCTAGATGTCCACCATGTCGGTTTCTTCCGATGACGAGTGCCCAGTCGTCGCAGCCTGGGCCAAGAGCTCCCAGGTTCTTGGTAGGTTGCTTGAGAAAAACTTGCTGATCTTGGGTGGCAGCAAGAAGCTTACCCGGCACACCTGCTGTGCAAATCGTGACCTCCTGGTGCCCCTGATCAACCTTGTCGGCCACTTTGAGCATACTTGTAGATAGGGTTTTGCGTCGTTGAGGCTGGCGTTATTTGGTAGCATTCAAATCGCGAAGCACATGCAGAGTCTGTATCTAATTAAGGACTTCGTCCAAGTGTTGACCTTGTGGCGAAGTACTTACAGCGACTTTACGTTTCCCATGGTCCCCGGGGAAAGCCTGTGCCTGATAGTGCCCTGGCTGTAACTTTCCACGCCATTTCGCAAGTTTGCACCAGCTTGATATCGATTCGCTGACGCATCTGAGGCAACCAGATCAGAACCCAGGCATGGCTCTTGCGCAGGTTGATTAGTATCTTTTCAAGAATCGCGAAACGGCCACATCGCCCACGCCAGCATGAGTTTAGGAAACTCATGCAGGACGTGGGGATGGAGTGAACTTCGGATGAAGGTGGTCCTGAGTTTCTTGAGTTGCTGAGGTAGGTCCTGGGTGTGGGGTCTGGGCCTGGGCACGAGTTTCCACTCAGGCCCTGAAAAGAACAATGACTCCGGCAGCTCCTGCAGTGACAGTGGGGACGACGATTGTTCGTCTTCTTCCAGCTATGAGTCTGCAACGGAAACCGAGCCGGACGAACCGGATGTCTTATGGCTAAATGGAACACGGTGTGTTGTGATCATGCATGCGTATTAAGACCGACCCTATAAGAAGATCGATATTGGTCCCAGGTCACCAGCAGCAACGCCGATGCCGGTATCACGCGTGCCAAGGATGTGCCAGCGCCAAAGTCCTTGGATGGTGATCGGAAGCTAGAGCCCTGCACAGACCCAACCCCACCGCACCCACTGCCATCCAACCCCAGGCCTTCACCCAAGCCTAAGCCCAGTGCTCGGAGCAATTGCCCACCACCTCTGCCTACGCCAGCTCGGAGCCAGTGCCCGCCACCTCTGGCTACTCCGAGCCCTCGTCCTCGACCCACTTCCCGAAATTCCTCGCCTGTGTTGTCGGGCACAGGCTACTGAGAAGCACTTAATTACTCCAAAAAGGGCCCTGCCCTCGACCAGTAACACACTAGCCGAAAAGAAATCCCGATCACCCTAAACCCTACCCCTAAACCCCAAACCCTAAATCCCAAACCCTCAACCCTCTATAAACCCTAAACCCTAAACCCTATGCCCAGGTTCTGCAGCTTCATCCGCATCGAGCACAATCATCACGCCGCCTCCGCGAGTTTGCATCTTGATTCGCATATACCGATATGGTTTGTGGCCTGGGGTTGCAGTCTAGGTCGGAGTACACCGTGTGCCAGCACAGCTGGGTGTGCTTGCTGTGGTGGGGATTGAGTTTTGGAAGATTTCAGGTCGGGAGCCATTGTCGCCTCAGTCTGATGCAAAGGCCAAGGGCCAGCACTACACAGTCAAGGAGTTCACACATGGTTATGAATGCCTCATCTGTGGATTGTTGGGTGATATTTCTTTCATCAAGGGCAGCCCTTGCAAACCGGTTCCCGACGATCTTGTCTCGATGACTCGCAAGTTTCAGGAGGAGAGTGATGCAAAAATGGCTCAGGAGCTGCATGCTTTGCAAGTGGAAGAGGAGTATCTAGAGCAGCTTCTGGTGCTACAGCAGCTAGAGCAGGAGGAGACCCTGCTTGTAGCTTTGCAGGCCAAGCAAA